GCCATATTCGCTAATGACGTAAGATAAAGTTTGTTTCCAACCATAGTCGCTAGTGATGTAAGATAAAGTTTGTTTCCAACCATAGTCGCTAGTGACGTAAGATAAAGTTTGTTTCCAACCATAGTCGCTAGTGACGTAAGATAAAGTTTGTTTCCAACCATACCTAGTGATGTAAGATAGTCAACCATAGTGATGTAAGATAAAGTTTGTTTCCAACCATAGTCGCTAGTGACGTAAGATAAAGTTTGTTTCCAACCATAGTCGCTAGTGACGTAAGATAAAGTTTGTTTCCAACCATAGTCGCTAGTGACGTAAGATAAAGTTTGTTTCCAACCATAGTCGCTAGTGACGTAAGATAAAGTTTGTTTCCAACCATAGTCGCTAGTGACGTAAGATAAAGTTTGTTTCCAACCATAGTCGCTAGTGACGTAAGATAAAGTTTGTTTCCAACCATAGTCGCTAGTGACGTAAGAAACAATAATTTTAGAAGATTTGAGGGACTTCAAGAGAATTAAATGTTGTTTCGTACAGCGAAATGTCGTTCAAATCAGGTATAAGCATACAAATGACTCTGTTCTACATTTCTTTTGAACTGTTTTAAAAGCTTATCCACATTAACTTCCCTTTGTAAATATGTAATCTCGTTTGAGTTTGAATTTGAATGAAAAAGTACATTTAGCTGATAATGTTTTCCTGTATGTATATTTGTCATCAGGTTCCGACAAAGCGATGAAAATCAATAATCAATACTGCAGGATAGTCTAAAAATGTTGTACAGTTATATTAAGAGAAAAAATGAAAACAATTTTGTACCGTTTTAACACGGTATTGTTACTTTTTAGTTTTTTTTCTATTCACGTAACCGGGTCTATTTTTAATGTATGTTTTCTTAGACGCCTACTAGGCTTCAAACTATTCACTTAGAGTCATTGACGAGTCCCACTGAGACGGACCAGTTGCATTAAGTGGTTTAGTTATTGACAGTATCTTATTCCAATTGTATGCCATTAGGTTCTATTAACGCGTGTGTCGTATTGTACAATCTTTGTTTGGGGTTTGCCATAACTTTCATGCCACGTTTTATTTCAAACGCACTTTTGCTTGGCGCTCCTTTGAAATAAATCATTATCTAAATTCAAGAAATATATTGAAATTTGTGATTACCTCAAACAAATTTGAATATGGTAAGTATGGTGGCATATAACTGCCATCTACTTGTCGTGTTGACGTGATAATTTATCGCTACAAGTCGTCATATTAACTTAAATTTTACTTTCTCTAAATATAGATGGTACGTTATTCGGGATGCCTCGGTATTTCGCCAAAGTTTTTGTGATTTCCGGTGAAGAAGAGAAGAAATGGCGGTAGGTAGCTGCATCCAGTGTAGGCATGCTCTTTATACACTAGACTAGGCCTATTGCTTGTTGATGACATATTGATAATTAATTTTCCACGGACCCCCGAACATACTCTGTGGGGTCTCGTCATGTCATCGGGGAAGGGGAATATACATGGAATGAACAACGCGCCAATCTATATTTAGAGAAAGTAAAGTTTTCCCGCATGTCACTTCCGAGCATTATCGCAACATAAAGTCGTGTTGTCGTGATATTTAGGGCGACTTAAAGATCAGTTTAACACGATAATTATCACGACTAGTCGTCTTATCAAGACGTCTTACCATGTTATTATCGTGACGAGTCGTGTTAATATGACGACTTGTCGCGATAAATTATCACGACAACACGACAAGTAGATGGCAGTTATATGCCACCAAAGGTAAGCGTACCTATCAGAAAGACAATTTGAATTGTGTTTATTTCATACCGTGTTTACTACATATTCGTGCATAGATACTGAATATAGAAGAATTAACAGCCTGAAATCTAAAATGAAAACAAAACACTGGTCGGTGTTCCTCGTTCCTAAGTCCACACCTCATAAATACGCTTCAGTATAGTTCACAACTATATCTTTGTACCGCCTATCACCTTTGTAGGAAAAGACATCAAAATTGGAAAAATTGGCCAAAAAATCGACATACTATTTATTCCACTGAATCAGTATCATAATAAGACTGTATTCTGGATTTGATATGACAAAGAAAAATGATAATGATAAGGACAAAGGTTTGATGAAAATATAAACATACCAGCAATGGAACAATATTTATGGATTCCTGTGAAGTTTAGAGATTCGTTATAAACGGAGAGGTCTATATCCTTATCATGAATAGGCAATTTGAATGAACAATAATAAGTTGATTGAGGGGTAGTTCATTCAGCTGCTGCTATTGGCTACGAGTAACTGTAGAAAATAACAGGGGTATTTCAGCAAGGAAGGTATAGTGAATTATCTTGTACAGATTTCTGGTGTAAGATATTTGTGATGTTAATAGCGTGCACTCTCATGTTCGCAAACTGAACCTCCCTAAATAGTCAAGCAGCTGGAGAATTGCGGGTATCCGATAGTTTTAAAAGTGTCATCTGTGCCACATTACTAGTAAGTGATTGAAGTATCCAGACTAGTTTTCACTTGCTTCAAGGAACAGCATGCTCTGAATCCTGATGATGGACACCGAATGGTTTCTACAACTCGACTGTCCAGTAGTGGGTTATGAATAATACTGGGACTTTTCAATATCAACTCTTCTATCCATTCAACCATTCACACAACTTCCTACATTGAGAGTAAACTCATCTGAATACCTTTTAATTATCACAAAAGAACGTATAAGATACATCTTTCTAAAATCGTATCGACAATCCTGCCATAACAGTACCGGTTCAATGTTTCTTGGTCCATCGATTAAATACACTTACATAAGCCTTATGACATCCTCCTCGCTATAACATAGGCTGTTCTGAGACTGATGAAAACTTGAGCCCGAATCAGCTCTCTTCTGTCCTGACGATGTGTTGTATGACCTTTCGTTCCATATTTCTTGCATTTCTAAGATCTGTAAACTTACCCATGAGAGTTATGTTTTGGTCTTGAACAATGGTAACACGATTAAACATTGTGTGTGTACCAGGTTTGTGTGTTTCCTCCGATATTTTCAGGAATCTCCGTGTACATCTTTCTTCTATCATATTTTGAACTAGTTTGATTAAATCTGAGTTTAAATTCAGACTACATCAACATATCGGGTCTTTTTTTTTTTTACAAGTCCAAACGATCAACTAGATTTACAAGCTTTCTTCTTTCTAAGGAAATGTCCTTGTAGATATTTAAGAGACTCCATGATAATAATAAAGATATCGGTTATGTTCAAACATGTACAAAATGGGGTTTCGGATATCCGACAACGTCGTGTAGATTCGTCTCTATTCAAAATCATCTAAAATACTTATTTGTGTTTTCCAAAACAAAAAATCGATACAGCGACCTAATATTTCGATTGATAAACATGCTGGATATATTACAAGATATATGTTTATTTCGCTTGTTTTTATTTTATTTTTATCACGTAAAAGTACAGTCGGCAGCTCTACAGCATTTTCAGTCCCCATCAGCTGTCAAGCTTATCACTATACCAGCGGACAGTGAAACAAACGGAAGTAACTCTTGCAGATCAAAATGCATTACAACTGCTAAATGTAAGAGTTGGCGCAAAGTGAAGAAATTGTGAAAATCCTAAATTTAACATCAAGAGCTATGGTAAATATGTGATTTATTTATTTATATATTTATTTATTTTTGTAATTTGACCTCTTCAGTACACTTCGTAATCATTGTGGAAGACTGTATACATTGTGTACGTGACATTGGCAATCTGGTTTATATTTCACATACAATTCAGATCTGCTTTGTTTTCTAGTTTAGTTTAGACATTTTAAATACCGAGTTCAGTGTTTTTCACACATTTTCAATGACGTAAATGAGATCGGGACTTTGTAACGGCCATAGTAACGTTGTGATGTTGTTTGTTTACAAAAACTTGTGTACGTGTTCCGTCTCCGAAGTAATACATCTCTGAAACATAATAGAAATAGGAACATGCCATCAGGATTTTGAAGTCTCCGACACTGTTAAGTTTTCCTCCAAACAAAATATTTTCCAGTATTTGTCTCTGTTTCGGTTTCGTCACTTTCAGGTATCGTTGATGAACCAGAAGACACTTACTCATCCGGAATACCTGGTCTTATTATCCATGTACTTTAACAGGAGGGTCATATTTTGCCATAGTTTTATTGACTCTGGATTATGGTTTTATCGACATATTGGTATTTTTTTGTTATTTTTTATGACCAGTTATTTTCATCTGTCCCGTTAAATTTAGTTTTCAAAAAAGAACTTGCCGCTCGGGACCGAAGTCAATTTATCTGGAAACACCTTTCCATTGATATCTTTATCCAGAAAGCCTCCTCTTATGATAATTATCAGTCAGAATAGTCATCATGTGTCGTTTAAAATACGAAGTAGAGAGGGATTACATTGGACACAATATTGTCTTGTCGTCGACCTTCTCGGCTGATATTCAACATAACCTCGTTGACGGAAGCGTTTTTCAAATTATCTAAACAGTTTTTTGGTTTTTACTATGGTAATTTTGAAATATTCTAGGTTAGATCATCATAAGGAAAAAAAATCATGTTTTCTTTCAATAAGGATGTCAATTCAGGACCTCTGGTAGGCAATGACAGAACGGATGACAAGAATCAGATGTGAAGGGCAATTGTTCTAATTAATTTGTATATGTTACAGATTGCACCCACTAATTTGTTCGTAATGACTTTATATGATATACAGCACCAGAAACAAATATAAGTCATCAATGACGTCGCCATGTTGTCCAAATACATGTCCCGGTGAATGTATGTTTGCTGTTCTAATACAATATCCAACAGTAACAACCACGTGATTTATCGTCATGCTGTACAAGTTATCGTCCTTTATCGGAGGATTCATTCTTACAACGACAGGGAAAATCTGTTCTGATACCAACGTGTTCATACCATATCCATTAGACAGCTGAGTTTTTTTCGAAAAAAAAAAGGATGGAGAAAAGTAATGTAGCTTCCAGTGTGAAATGGTCTTCCCGAATTGAATTTGTTGTAGCGTTACTTGGATATTCCATTGGTATGCCGGAATTCTGGAGAGTGCCTTATCTTACGTTCCGGAATGGAGGAGGTAGGTTTATAGAAACATCATTCGGGATATAGTTTGTCGTAAACAGCCGCATTATGTTATGCTCCAGTTGTTAAACTTCAACATTTAATAATATGTGTTTTACGTATTCAACTATTTCAGTGCGTAGCTGTCGGATGAATGTGTGAAGTCAGCCGTATCTTATACCCACCACATTATAAAACTGTGATATAAACACATTTATAAATCTTCAGTATCTTATACCCATCACAATATAAAACTGTGATATAAACACATTTATAGATCTTCAGTATCTAATACCCATCACAATATAAAACTTTGATATAAACACATTGATAGATCTTCAGTATCTAATACCTATCACAATATAAAACTTTGATATAAACACATTGATAGACCTTCAGTATCTAATACCCATCACAATATAAAACTTTGATATAAACACATTGATAGGTCTTCAGTATGTTATACCCATCACAATATAAAACTTTGATATAAACACATTTATAGATCTTCAGTATCTAATACCCATCACAATATAAAACTTTGATATAAACACATTTATAGATCTTCAGTATGTTATACCCATCACAATATAAAACTTTGATATAAACACATTTATAGATCTTCAGTATCTAGTACCCATCACAATATAAAACTTTGATATAAACACATTGATAGATCTTCAGTATCTAATACCCATCACAATATAAAACTTTGATATAAACACATTTATAGATCTTCAGTATCTAATAACCATCATCATATAAAACTTTGATATAAACACATTGATAGATCTTCAGTATCTAATAACCATCATCATATAAAACTTTGATATAAACACATTGATAGATCTTCAGGAGCTAATACCACCACAATATAAAACATTTATATAAACACATTTATAGATCTTCAGTATCTAATACCCATCACAATATAAAACATTGATATAAACACATTGATAGATCTTCAGTATGTTATACCCTTCACAATATAAAACTTTGATATAAACACATTGATAGATCTTCAGTATGTTATACCCATCACAATATAAAACTGTGATATAAACACATTTATAGATCTTCAGTATCTAATACCCATCACAATATAAAACATTGATATAAACACATTGATAGATCTTCAGTATGTTATACCCTTCACAATATAAAACTTTGATATAAACACATTTATAAATCTTCAGTATCTAATACCCATCACAATATAAAACTTTGATATAAACACATTTATAGATCTTCAGTATCTAATACCATCACAATATAAAACTTTGATATAAACACATTGATAGATCTTCAGTATCTAATAACCATCATCATATAAAAATTTGATATAAACACATTTATAGATCTTCGGTATCTAATACCATCACAATATAAAACTTTGATATAAACACATTTATAGATCTTCAGTATCTAATACCCATCACAATATAAAACATTTATATAAACACATTTATAAATTGTCAGTATCTAACACCCATGATCTGTTTTTGTAATACCATACATTTTAGGGAAAGGTTGTTGATGCAAGTCTAACATGTGCAGAAGATATGTTGAGTCTGTCTATCACAGCCTTCAAATCACGTTACTATCAGTCTGTACAAAACAGTGTTTGAGATATTAATGCCTCTTTGTTGACGGCCACTATTTCCTATTCATTACACATAAGCACAAAATGATTATAAATAATCTTATATCCTAACTTGAACTTATTTATTCATCTTTTATGTTATCTGAGATAACCCCAGTCTTAATTTATTAGTGTAGCACTTCCTTATAAAGTAAGAGAAATCCCAGCTCCAGTTCGAACTGTTAACATAGCTACACGACATTGGAAATTTTCCTAAAGCGCTTTCGCGTAATCTGTTGAAACAGTTTGACAGGAAGAATCTGCAAGGAAAACGTCAGGTACAGATCGAGACCGAGGCTAGGATGCGGAATATTTGGCACGTGCAGAATTAGTTGTCCAGTCGAACCTGTCCGAAACAACTTGCTTAATGTCATTAGTTTTCAGAATTCCAGCATGAAATAGGATCGGTTCACTCTCATATTTCCGGAAGGATTGTACTATCAAGTATAAGTAAAATGGATGGTTTCTAATTTCACTTAGTTGTTTTATGAATGACGGAAAATTCAGGAATTGTGCATTCTGAGCTATATATATATATCAGGTTCAACATCCGGTACAAGTTTGTTAGTGTAAAAAAGAGAGTTTAGAAGACGGTCATTTATACCTTGATTGTTGATGATGTCAGTCTGATGTTACACAATTCACTCTTGCCATCTTCTGGACAACCATATTCAAATGTCATGTTTGCTACAACTGTTGGCTTCAGCTTTTCAAGCCCCACGTTCTTCAGCACTATTAGGTTTTTGATTCACAGCTATTCTCTACCAAGTGGGAGAAATTTAGCTGTTCTACAAACACAGTATCTGTTGCATGAATAAAGTACTGAATTTCTTTATATCAATTTAGATACACGATAGTTTTCACCCAGCCCGGCATCATCGTAATATTTGCCATATCTCAAATTGATTGTGTAACATGTTCGTCCAGAATGCAAAAGAACACCTACCAATAGCGTTTAGAGATCTATAAACGTTATCCATCCAGATAGTGAATTATAGCGACTTGTGGAGAGAAGAGAAATATAGCTGTATTTGGTTTTATGTATGGAGTTGAGGTATGCATTGTTTCATTACAGGATCTTTCATTATCGCTTACATCCTCCTGATGTTAGTGTGCGGGCTACCATTGTACTTCGTCGAGCTAGCACTGTCCCAGTACTCCGGGAAAGGACCATGGAGGTTCTGGGATATCTGTCCATTACTGAGAGGTGAAAAAATATCTGAAATATCTTATCAACCTTTGCAAAATACTTCTGATTGTTCAGTTTCATGTCAATTAAAGGAAAAAGTGTTTCCGGTTTCCCGACGTCCCAATGTTTTTGCTGCCGACCTATATTTTTTAACTTTTCGGCTTAAACATTACTCTTGTTTGCTGTCAATCCTTAGAAGTCCTGTACTCTGAGGCAAATTCACTTTAACGCTTGATATATATATATATATATACGGAACGGTGTAAAACATTCTGTTGACACCCTCCTGCGAAGGTGATGGTCGCCTTACTGTCAAGAGTAGCTGAGACGTTTTTTTCTCAGTTTGTTACGATGGTAGCTGTAATAGAAGGTTGGAAACTTATATCAAATACATTTCTCGAGTCTAATTCAACTTCAACTTTCAAATAAAAGCAAATCTGCATAGTCGTGTATTTTTTCCAATTTCTTTTTATATCCCAGTAAACAAATAGAGAGAATTAGTATAGTCATCTTGTCTGTCTGTCGGTCGGTGTATTATCCGAAGGAAAACTCCGGCACTCATTAGTACGAGGAAGACTATCATTTTTTGAAAATCGAATGTCACAGATGTCCCATGAAATTGTGATTGTAATATTCAGCATTATTATCAATAAATGTTGAACAGCTGTCAAGACACAGCAATTTCGATCTCAATGAAAAAACAAACCACACCAAACAATAGATTGAAAAATATAAACATGATCTTATCAGTTAGGTTTTTTAATGAACTGAAATGCAGTACGATTTGATGTGTTTTTATGAATGCATGATATTGCATACAACAGAGAAATATGTTGATATTAAGAGGGACTTAAAAGGAGATGCATTTTTAAAAACAGTATTTGGTCCCTTGTATCTAATTATACATTTTAATGTGTTTTTTTCTGGTGTGTATTGTGTACACCTTACAGGAGTGAGCATAGCTGTAGCCGTCATTAATGGTTTGAGTGGTATCAACGCAGCCATCCTTGAAGTCTGGGCTTTTGAGTATTTCGTGAACTCATTTAAGTCAGTCCTGCCCTGGACAAACTGTGACAATGACTGGAACACGCCGTCTTGTCTTAGAGACGGTTCACAGACCAGTAGTGATGTCGTATCAATGTATCACAATGTCAGCAACTACAGTCTACCGGATATCTACCCTTCCAACCAGAATAAAGTAATGTATCTATGTTATAAATATGTAAGTCACTGTCCTTTGTTAAACAGAGAACGATCTCTTTATTGATAGTTCACACACAACTTATCGGGAAATGTTCAAAGCGATGATATAGAGTCAGGACAATGGTTGCAGTGGCTGGGAGAAAAACACAAAATATACCTGCACGTGAATCTAATCGTAATTCGAACTCTAAAATCAGGAGCAAAATATGAAAAAAGAAACTTGTCATGAGTATGTCACCACTAAATACGCGTCGACGACAGTACTCGTGTAAATATTACTCAATTTAAGTAAGAACGCGTCGACGACAGTACTCGTGTAAGTATTACTCAATTTAAGTAAGTACGCGTCGACGACAGTACTCGTGTAAATATTACTCATTTCAAGTAAGTACGCGTCGACGACACTACGCGTGTAAATATTACTCATTCCAAGTAAGTACGCGTCGACGACACTACTCGTGTAAATATTACTCACCAAGTAAGTACGCGTCGACGACACTACGGGTGTAAAAATTACTCATTCCAAGTAAGTACGCGTCGACGACACTACGCGTGTAAATATTACTCATTCCAAGTAAGTACGCGTCGACGACACTACGCGTGTAAATATTACTCATTTTAAGTAAGTACGCGTCGACGACACTACTCGTGTAAATATTAGTCATTCCAAGTAAGTACGCGTCGACGACACTTCTCGTGTAAATATTACTCATTCCAAGTAAGTACGCGTCGACGACACTAATCGTGTAAATATTACTCATTCCAAGTAAGTACGCGTCGACGACACTAATCGTGTAAAAATTACTCGAAACAAGTAAATGACATTACGTTGTCATACGAGAATCAGATAGAAACACATATAACTTTATGTTGCAGAAGGACATAAAATCACGTTGACGACCATAATCTGATACTTGATACTTGATAACGTTTTCTGGCAAAATGTTCATGCTATTTCAGTTTCATCAATAAAAATCTAGAGTAGTCATTAATCTGCATGCCTGTAAATGATATCGTAACACTGCAAAGTATACCTATGTAACACGCCCCCTTTAGTACTAATATTTATACAAGTAGCAAATGGAATGAGGAAAATACACATATTATTTGTGGTTTGCTAAATGAAAATATTGATGCCCTAATGAAAACTTGTAATGTCACACAATACGATCAAGATGGAATTAATATGTGCGTGAGTAAATTTACTAGTTTACTTAATGAATTGATAGACCCGTACTGTACACGTATTGTGAGAAAAAGTTACACAGACAGTGGGCGAATATCTACAAGGGGAGATAAGCCATGGTTTACCGACCTCTGTAAGCAGCGGTACATAGACTACAAAAACGCTCTACGTATTTTCAATACGTGCAAATCTAATCACAACAGAGACTACCTTGCAAGTAAAAAATCTGCATATAAGAAATTAGAATGTAAGTTAAAAAAGGGATACAGATGTTATCAAGGAGATGTGCTGAATTATTTGCGTAAATACAATCCACGTGCATTTTACAAAACATTCCGAAAATATAAAAACAATATTAACACCGATCTAAATGTAACAGATTTTTATCAACATTTTTCTATGCTAAATACAGGCGTGCCCAACACTGATAAAGACATTTATGATTTTTTGTTTGATTGTGATGTTAATTTTGATTCTCCTATATTCAAGGAACTTGACGTTGATATAAAACAGTCTGAAATACGTGAGGCTATTGGAAACCTTAGTTACAATAAAGCTTGTGGTCAGGATGGTATACTAAACGAATATTTTATACACTGTACAGATATTTTAATGCCATGTCTTTTAACCTTATTCAATCATATCTTCAGGTCGTGTTATTTCCCATCCTCATGGTCCATAGGTAACATTGTACCTGTACACAAGAAAGGTGACATTAATAATACAGATAATTATCGGGGTATTACGTTGCTTAGTTCTTTAGGTAAACTTTTTACAGCCGTTATTAATAACAGACTGGTAACATTTGAAATGAAGTACAATAAGATTACAGATGCGCAATTTGGATTTAGAAAAAACTTTTCAACAGTTGACGCCATATTTGCCTTACAAACATTAATTAATCGTACATTAAAAAACAGAAAACGTCTCTATTGTTGCTTTGTGGATTACACCAAAGCATTTGATTTTGTAAATAGACAAAACTTATGGTATAAAATGATCAGAGAAGGGGTTGGTGGAAATATGTTAAAAATTATAAGATCGTTGTATAAAGATGTTAAATGTTGTATAAAATATAATGGTACTCTATCTGATTATTTCGGCTATGAAAACGGATTATTTCAGGGGGAAATATTATCACCTCTGTTGTTCTCCATGTATGTGAACGATTGCGAAATGCAATTTTTATCTGACAATTGTCCATCCATAGAAATACAAGAGATTAACATGTTTTTACTAATGTTTGCCGATGATATGGTAGTCATTGCTGAAACACCAGATGGATTGCAAAAAATGTTGAACTCCCAAGCGAAATATACAGAAAAGTGGAATCTGACTGTAAATACAGCGAGAACAAAAATTGTTGTATTCTGTAATGGGGGGAAATTAAAAGAGAATGAACAATGGTATTATAAGGAGAACAGATTAGAAGTATTGGATAAATTCTATTATTTAGGAGTGATGCTTAATTTTAATGGTAAATTCAGACAAACACAAAAGCATATTGCTGACCAAGGGAGAAAAGCATTATTTGCAATCTTGAATATCTGCAAAAGTAATTTTTTCAATATAGAAACGCAATTAGCGATGTTTGATACATATGTAAATAGTGTACTTAGTTATTGGGCGGAAGTGTGGGGCTTCCATACGGCGCCCGAAATTGAAAAAATACATGTGAAGTTCTGTAAACGTATTCTAGGTTTACATAATAAGACTAATAATGATATGGTGTATTATGAATTGGGCAGATACCCTATGACTATAGTCCGTAAGTTCCGTATTTTCAATTACTGGAAAAAATTTAGAAATTCTGAAAACTGCATTCTTAAATCATGCTATGCTGAGATGCTCGGCTACAATAACAATTGGTTACAGAGTGTTAAACAGGAATTATATAGAATAGGTCTTGGATACGTGTAGGGGAAACCCAGTTGTAATTAATCACACATTTCGTATAATAAAGGAACGGATTTGTGATATTTACAAACAAGAATGTTTTAGAAAGATCGCATCATCCTCAAAGGGTGAACTGTACCAATACATTTGTAATTTTGGACATCAATCTTATTTAACTAAAGCCATTAATTTTAATTATGTAAAGCAAATATGTAAAATTAGACTATCTGCTCATACGCTTAATATAGAATGTGGCCGATATAACAATATAGATCGAAGAAACAGATTATGTGATTTATGCGATATGCATGACCTGGAAGACGTATTTCATTTCATTCTGAAGTGTCCACGCTATGCCGAAATTAGATGTAAATTTATAAAAAAAACTATTATATAAGACATCCCAGTATGTTTAAATTAATAGAGTTGCTGAACAGTAATAAAATCGCGGAAATAAGAAATTTAGGTAAATATTTATTGCATGCGAACAAAATGAGATCACAATTGCTTATAAATTAGTTCTTCACTCTCCACTATAGTACGTACATTTTGTACATTGTAATTTATATAGTACACCGCATAATTGCATGATTGTGAATTGAACTGTATATGGATATTGGTTGTAACTGATAAGTCAGAAAGACTTAAGGTAATAAAAACTTGAAACTTGAAGTACAGGACTCAAAGCTATTATCAAACGTTCGTAATGAGGACAAATGTCACAGCGGCATTAATTATACTCAATTTAACGTTAAAACTAGATCTTTGACAGTGATATATACTAACAGTTTTGGTATTGATTCCCGAGATATGAAATTTACGTTTCTGACAATTCTGATTCATGAGAAAATTGAAGTCTGTATACAAGTTTTTTTTTCTGTCGTTATCGATTTTCATTGTCAAGTCAACGTCACAATTTTTACGATTTTATTCTATAGTATTTGTGTGATTTAATTGTCAGTATGTTTTATTTTTTATTAATATACCTGTATTGACTGTTAAATATATCCTCGAAACTTTAAAACAATATAAAAACAAATATAAAACCTGTTTCGATAATAAAAGTTTCAATATCAAACTAACATAATTTGGCAGGTGAACAACACATATGTATATACATGTAAGACTTATTTTAAATTTCAGAGCGATAAATCCTGGACCACAGAACGAAAAATAAATAACTCTCTCCATTATCCAGTGGATTCTGTAAACGAATTCTGGCTGTAAGTATACATAATGTATACAGTTTAATGGCATATAACGATAGAGCATGTGGTTTATTGCTTTCATGGGGAAAAACATATTTACATTTAAATGCGTTGTTGAAAATTCACATTTTCAGTTTGATAGTTTACTTTTGAAAGGTTAGAGTTTTGATCAGGATAAAACTTGAAATATACATCGGACATAGTTATTGTGTTAATAATTTACTGGCTATGCCAACTTTTAAAAATATTTTTATGCTGCCCTTTATCTGTAGTAAATGTTAATGTATTGAACGTAAGAAGTGGTTGCAGATACTTGACAACGAAACTCCTTCATCTGTTGATAAACAACTCTATTGGCTTAACAGGATAAATACCAACATTCACAGGGCACGGCACTCTATTGGGTTAACAGGACAAATTCCAGCTTTCACACCTAGGGCACGGCACTCTGTTTGACTAACAGAACAAAAACCAGCTTTCACACCTAGGGTACGACATTTTATTTTGTTAACATGATAAATACCAGCATTCACACCTAGGGTGCGGCACTCTGTTGGGTTAACAGGGCAAATTCTAGCTTTCACACCTAGGGTACGGCACCCTATTGGGTTAACAGGACAAAACCTAGCTTTCACACGTAGGGTACGGCACCCTATTGGGTTAACAGGACAACTTTCAGCTTTCACATGTAGGGTACGGCACTTTTTTTAGTTAACAGGACAAATACCATCATTCACACATAGGTTGCGGAACTCTATTGGGTTAACAGGACAAATCCCAGCTTTCACACGTAGGGTACGGCACCCTATTGGGTTAACAGGACAAAACCCAGCTTTCACACCTAGGGTAAGGAACTCTATTGGTTTATCAGGACAATTTCCAGCTTTCACTCCTAGGGTACGGCACCCTATTGGGTTAACAGGGATGAAAAATTGTATAGTAAAGGCATAATTTTGGTTTTATGTTTCTTTTAACCGGTTGTTTTAAAAAGAATATTTTTATAAAGCTTACAAGATATTCTTTTTAGATAAGCAAATCATGGAAAAGCCTTGGCTATCAAACACAATAAAGATAAATATTTTAACAGGTATCGGATTCTGAGAATATCGGACGGATTTGACCACATTGGATCTATTAGCCTTGTGTTTGTTGCCTATCTATTTGTGATGAGGCTGATCGCCGCATTCAGTATGGTTAAAAGTGTCAAAAGCATAGGCAAGGTAATCCATTTTATTTACTATCTCTATTGTCAATAGTAGTACATAGGTAACACTTGTATGCGAACGGAGGCAGTTTATACAACATAATGAACAAAACTGCAACACACACTGTCTTCGCAGTGATGCTAGTTTATGACATTATTTTAAGTATGTTCATATTCTCAGCAAAAGTGCCTCATATTCTCATTTCAGGTCTTAAGAGAAAAAAATGACAAAATCGAGAAATTAGAAGTTTAACGGTATAAATTATTCTTGTGGTGCTACGCAATGTGCAATGTGTGCACAATAGGAAATCTCGATGAAATAAGTTATCGCACATCTGCGCGCACGTTGTGTGGTTCTATCGTAATTGATGAACATTTAGAAATGACTTATCAACAGGGGTAGGTTTTATTTAATTTCACAACACAAAAGAGAACAACATAAAACATTCCCTAATTAAGCCATCATCTTTAGTTTAGACACAGGTTTTCTATCAGATTATAGACAGATTGGTTATATACACTCGTCAATATTTTGTTTACATATGCCACACCTAAGAGTACAGATATATATGTTAACACTAAATGGGCGTCTGTTTTAGTCACGGTAAAGAATCATCTAAATTTTCATACCGGCAGAAAGGAAAATTTATATTCATTACTTATTTCTCACCATTCGCCGCTGTGCGAGGTTTGAAACAATGCGATAAAAAGACTAAGTAATGCAGGGTCCTGTGTTATTTCGAAAACTGTCGAATTATGAATGACTTTTACAATCAGCGATCAATTTTGATATGCCGTCGATGGTTATCAGTCACAACTACAAGAGAGTTCCGTTTAAGTTTGAATCCGTAATATTCGCCAACAATTTTTACCAAACCACACAAGTGCGATGCTATCTCACTGTCGTTTGCTAGATACTATATAATGCGTGCGTGCGGATGATGTATGCACGGTGTATGTACATGTGCACGAAAGGTTTTGGCGTGTGGTGCGTTACTACGACTCTTTTTATCGAATTATTCGTTTTTGGATACTTTTCATCTTGTCCCCTCGAAAAGTTAGAAGTTAGGACGTAATCGTCCACCGTTGCTGACTGGATCCTTGTTAATTTTGACCGAAAATTGCAATCATATATATTATATCTAATCTACAGATAATGTACGTAACCGCTCTACTACCCATCATCTTAGTTCTGATGATATGGATACGAGCACTGACACTACCCGGTGCTACTAAAGGCATGTTGTATTTCATTTCGACGGATATCACAAGATTAGCTGACTCACAGGTACTTTTAATCGTAGGTAATGATACCATATAAAATGTCAACTCCAACAAAGTAAAGATCGTTGTGTCTAAAACTCTTGTCTTTCAATGACGTTGAATATATTACGTTGGCAGAAATAACCGCGTGCAATGCATATGGCGTGAACTGCTGTACTGTCATGGAATAAATACAGACACATTACTACAAATAAAATGTAGTTTTTCATTTCTTTGCGCTATAAATATTGTTGTCTATTACGTCTGGGATAAATCCAGATTTCATAAATTTTCCTGATAGATCTATTATGGCGTATATCATAGTAATGGGTACATGTTTTGGTCTGTTTCTGGCATTTACTAATACATGTTCATTTTCCATGTCTGGAATTAGATTACCAATGATAAAACAGATAAGTAATTGTACGAGTACATTTTGTCTTTAGTTGTGGACCGAGGCAGCATTCCAAGCCTTTATGACACTTGGACCTGGCTGGGGAGGACTGATGATGATAGGGGCACACAGCAAATTCAAAACAAACTGCTTTAGGTAAATGATTTGTCACCATAAAAATCAGTTTGAAATAAGTTAAGTAAGATTAGGAATTACTTTTTTTTCCAATTAAATTTCTAACTGTTGTTTAAAGATCACAAAACCAAAAGCATTTGTTCTGTGTCGAAATCACAAAAATAATAGCATTCGTTCTGTGTCGAGATCACAAAAATAATAACATTCGTTCTGTGTCGAGATCACAAAAATAATAGCATTCGTTCTGTGTCGAGATCACAAAAATCGAAGCATTTGTTCTGTGTCCAGATAAAAAAATAAAGGCACTCATCATATTCATAATTAAGTAAATGTTCATCAGTGTGTTATTCCCTAACCGCTGATAAGTAAATGTTCATCAATGTGTTATTCCCTAACCGCTGATAATTAAATGTTCATCAATGTGTTATTCCCTAACCGCTGATAAGTAAATGTTCATCAATGTGTTATTCCCTAACCGCTGATAAGTAAATGCTCATCAATATGTTATTCCCTAACCGCTGATAAGTAAATGTTCATCAATGTGTTATTCCCTAACCGCTGATAAGTAAATGTTCATCAATGTGTTATCCCTAACCGCTGATAAGTAAATGTTCATCAACGTGTTATCCTTAACCGCTGATAAGTAAATGTTCATCAATGTGTTATTCCCTAACCGCTGATAAGTAAATGTTCATCAATGTGTTATCCTTTACCGCTGATAAGTAAATGTTCATCAATATGTTATTCCCTAACCGCTGATAAGTAAATGTTCATCAATGTGTTATCCTTTACCGCTGATAAGTAAATGTTCATCAATGTGTTATCCTTTACCGCTGATAAGTAAATGTTCATCAATGTGTTATTTCTAACCGCTGATAAGTAAATGTTCATCAATGTGTTATTCCCTAACCGCTGATAAGTAAATGTTCATCAATGTATTATTCCCTAACCGCTGATAAGTAAATGTTCATCAATGTGTTATTCCCTAACCGCTGATAATTAAATGTTCATCAATGTGTTATTCCCTAACCGCTGATAAGTAAATGTTCATCAATGTGTTATTCCCTAACCGCTGATAAGTAAATGCTCATCAATATGTTATTCCCTAACCGCTGATAAGTAAATGTTCATCAATGTGTTATTCCCTAACCGCTGATAAGTAAATGTTCATCAATGTGTTATCCTTAACCGCTGATAAGTAAATGTTCATCAATGTGTTATCCCTAACCGCTAATAAGTAAATGTTCATCAATGTGTTATTCCCTAACCGCTGATAAGTAAATGTTCATCAATGTGTTATTCCCTAACCGCTGATAAGTAAATGTTCATCAATGTGTTATCCTTTACCGCTGATAAGTAAATGTTCATCAATATGTTATTCCCTAACCGCTGATAAGTAAATGTTCATCAATGTGTTATCCTTTACCGCTGATAAGTAAATGTTCATCAATGTGTTATCCTTTACCGCTGATAAGTAAATGTTCATCAATGTGTTATTTCTAACCGCTGATAAGTAAATGTTCATCAATGTGTTATTCCCTAACCGCTGATAAGTAAATGTTCATCAATGTATTATTCCCTAACCGCTGATAAGTAAATGTTCATCAATGTGTTATTCCCTAACCGCTGATAAGTAAATGTTCATCAATGTGTTATTCCCTAACCGCTGATAAGTAAATGTTCATCAATATGTTATTCCCTAACCGCTGATATGTAAATGTTCATCAATGTGTTATTCCCTAACCGCTGATAAGTAAATGTTCATCAATATGTTATTCCCTAACCGCTGATATGTAAATGTTCATCAATATGTTATTCCCTAACCGCTGATAAGTAAATGTTCATCAATGTGTTATTCCCTAACCGCTGATAATTAAATGTTCATCAATGTGTTATTCCCTAACCGCTGATAAGTAAATGTTCATCAATGTTTTATTCCCTAACCGCTGATAAGTAAATGCTCATCAATATGTTATTCCCTAACCGCTGATAAGTAAATGTTCATCAATGTGTTATTCCCTAACCGCTGATAAGTAAATGTTCATCAATGTGTTATCCTTAACCGCTGATAAGTAAATGTTCATCAATGTGTTATCCCTAACCGCTAATAAGTAAATGTTCATCAATGTGTTATTCCCTAACCGCTGATAAGTAAATGTTCATCAATGTGTTATTCCCTAACCGCTGATAAGTAAATGTTCATCAATGTGTTATCCTTTACCGCTGATAAGTAAATGTTCATCAATATGTTATTCCCTAACCGCTGATAAGTAAATGTTCATCAATGTGTTATCCTTTACCGCTGATAAGTAAATGTTCATCAATGTGTTATTCCTTAACCGCTGATAAGTAAATGTTCATCAATGTGTTATCCTTAACCGCTGATAAGTAAATGTTCATCAATGTGTTATTCCCTAACCGCTGATAAGTAAATGTTCATCAATGTGTTATTCCCTAACCGCTGATAAGTAAATGTTCATCAATGTGTTATTCCCTAACCGCTGATAAGTAAATGTTCATCAATGTGTTATTCCCTAACCGCTGATAAGTAAATGTTCATCAATATGTTATTCCCTAACCGCTGATATGTAAATGTTCATCAATGTGTTATTCCCTAACCGCTGATAAGTAAATGTTCATCAATGTGTTATTCCCTAACCGCTGATATGTAAATGTTCATCAATATGTTATTCCCTAACCGCTGATAATTAAATGTTCATCAATGTGTTATCCTTAACCGCTGATAAGTAAATGTTCATCAATGTGTTATCCTTAACCGCTGATAAGTAAATGTTCATCAATGTGTTATCCCTAACCGCTGATAATTAAATGTTCATCAATGTGTTATCCCTAACCGCTGATAAGTAAATGTTCATCAATGTTTTATTCCTAACCGCTGATAAGTAAATGTTCATCAATATGTTATTCCCTAACCGCTGATAAGTAAATGTTCATCAATATGTTATTCCCTAACCGCTGATAAGTAAATGTTCATCAATTTTTTATTCCTAACCGCTGATAAGTAAATGTTCATCAATGTGTTATTCCCTAACCGCTGATAAGTACATGTTCATCAATGTGTTATTCCCTAACCGCTGATAAGTAAATGTTCATCAATATGTTATTCCCTAACCGCTGATATGTAAATGTTCATCAATGTGTTATTCCCTAACCGCTGATAAGTAAATGTTCATCAATGTGTTATCCTTTACCGCTGATAAGTAAATGTTCATCAATGTGTTATTCCCTAACCGCTGATAAGTAAATGTTCATCAATGTGTTATTCCCTAACCGCTGGTATTGCTTCACTTTTCCGGATTCCACACTAACATTATTTACCTTTTGTCATTTGTTGTTTCAGTGAAAGGTCTCTTTAGCTTACGGTTTATGAGAAAGACATACCCTTAAAACAATAAATGTGATCCCCTTTAAATTTTCAATTATGAAAAACAGAAATATGGTTTAATTTACACTAAAAGAGACAAAGGTATTTTTTGAATAATTCTTTATTAAATTTATCCCAACATTCTCAATTAATTTAGCTTTTTTTCTGAAAACGAAAGGAAGCATTCTTTAAGAGCTCTGATCTATGTTCACTTTGCCATTACAGTAAAACACGTTTATAACGAACCTCAAGGGACCAAGAAATTTAGTTCGTTATACAACATAGTTCGTTATACACATACAACGAATTTTGGCAAACAGTCACGTATAATTCGTTATAGGAATTGAACATGCTATAGAAATAACGGAGCCTTATTTCATGATTATATATCTACATGTATAGTATGTCCAAATAAACAGCAATTCACATTGCTTCCAAAAAACTCGAATAGTTACTTGAAAAAAATGACAAATGACAGATTGCTCTTTGTTACTGTCTGAGACCTTGTTACGGGTCTTTTGTGCTATCATTTGGCGATCCAGAGTTTTAATCCAATCCGTAAAAATGTTAGATGTCATCCAGGCTTTAGTGTTTGCCTTATATACAACAGGTAGAGATTTCACACCCTTAAAACATTTCAATTTTTTAAAATTGTACCCAGTGTTGTTGTTGAAATTTCGAAGCTATTTGAAATATCCTTTTTAGTCTTTTCATCATTGTATACTTCACAAATAGTTTGGTATTTAGTTTCAATTGTTAACGCCTTTCGCTTACGAGACGGCGACTACAGAACAGAACGCAAAGATTTTGGATAGATAGAATCAGTTCAGTAACTCAAAATTCAAAAACAATAGAACGCAGGAAACTTACCTGGACACGGGTGTCGATACAGGACACACGGCTAACTTCACTCAGGTGTGACGACTGCCCGAGGCCACTGCGTTATATGGTTATTAATTACCACTGATATTCACCTGAGCGGACCCAAAAGCTGCTACGTGATAGCCATTAATTCGTTATGTGAAATTCGTTATATATTTTGATTTTACCATATAAATGAAAGGGCGATTGACGGGGAATGAAAAACACTACGTTATAACCATTAATTCGTTGTAAGCGTGTTCGTTATAAACGTGTTTTACTGTATAACTTAATCTTACTTGCAATTAAAATTACTTACAATGCTAACAAAGGAAAGAAATATGCACTGTACCACACTTTCATGTTGCTAATCATGGTAGGAAAGTTTATTTTGCTATAAACAGTAAATTAAAAGTCATTCTTTTACTATAAATACACAATGTTCTGTGTTTGAATCTTATATCAATAGTATTCTTGGTTATGCAAGAGAGATATGGGGGCATCATAAATCCCTAGATGTCGAAAAAGTTCACCTAATATTTGCTTGGAGTCAGTAAAACTGCTGTAATTGATTGATTGTATTCTGAATTAGGTAGATTCTCAATATACATTACAAGGAAACTGAATTTTTAAAGTATTTGATTAAATTGAAATGTACTACAAACTGTGTCTTAAAAGCATGTTTGGACCACAGGATGGAATCGAATGATGAATGGGTAATAAATATCAAAATGGAACTAGACAATTTTGGATTAGCTTATCTGTGGGATAAAACAGACATATAATGTTGTACATATAAAATCATAGAATTAGTGATGTGTTCAAGAAGAAGATATTATCTGGAATTAGCCAGATGGCACGAGGAGAATTATACCAAATATTTAGTCGATAACTTTTGTTTGCAATTTGATCTTATTCAACCATAGATACAGTATACAAAAGATGTTATCCAGAATTTAGACTTTCGTCATATAATCTAAATATTAAAAATGGTCAGAAACAGAATGTTCCCAAACAAAATAGATTATATAAACGTTGTAACTTAGAAGAAATTGAAGAGAAATTCCACTTCATATGTCCATTTTATCTTATTTACCCCCCCATCCCCACCCCAAACAAAAAATAAATAAAAATATGAAAATATGAAATCTTATCTATAGGACGCCAAGTATATACAAATTTATACAATTATTAAGTGTGAAATGTGAAAGAACTTTAAAAAAAATGTAAATTTATATATTTAGCATTAAGAAAATATTGTTTGATATAGTATGTTTATGTATTAATTGTATACTCTTCGCCCCCCTTGCATTTGGATATCTCTGTATGTTTATATGTTGTTACCTATGGACCGAAAAGTCCTTGGAAATAAAATAAACTCGAAACTTCAACTTAAAAACTCTTTCGTCATTCAGCGCGTCTGTAATATCGACATCAGCGACCTTGACCTTCGGATTAGTCAATGGACTCGTTGTGTTTTCCGTACTTGGTGTGATGTCCGAAGAAGCTGGTGTTCCTATAAAAGACATGATGACCTCAGGTTAGCAACATCACATTTACTGTAATGTTCAAATACGTCAATGTGCCTTTTATATTAAACATTTAACGATAAATCTAATAATAAACAAATATGCCCAATCAAATTTAAGAACTGGATTGAAGTAGGGAGAAAAATGCTTATGTCATATAGCTGGACAATTGTAGAACAGACAACTGACAGGGAACGTAATTATATATAAATTATCGCATTGTCTACTTTCATATTCCACAGGTGGTTTTTCCATTGGGTTTATCGCCTATCCCAAAGCCCTGAGTTATTTCCCTTTACCACAACTTTGGTGCGTTATTTTCTATCTGGTCATTCTACTACCAGGACTGGATGTTATGGTAATTTTTCACATATTATCCTTATAACATAAAAATAGAGGTACAAAAGAAGGGCAGATTATCAATCACTCTTCAATGAACCTCAGAGAATATGGACGATTGTAAAATATGTTTTGTTCAAATTGGGTAATAGCAGTCCAACTCGGTATCGTTTTTTTCTGCATCCGGTCAGTCCATCGCCATAGTAACGAGACAGAGAAAGGTGCCTGTTCACTTCTTCAAATGATAGTAACATAGCGATGGCACATTTACTGTGATCAATGCCCGGAGTTGTGGTATGAGGACATCGGATTCGGAGAAAGGATGGACCTGTTTCAATTACATCTAAGCATTATAATCAGTTTCAATTACATCTACACGTTATAGTATGTTTGTGATATACTTGTTTTCCTCAAAATCAGTATATTTAAGACTATTGGAATTGAAAAGATAATTTGAACTATTATGTATAATGTCAGTTCATTACTACCAGTAACTCTAAAGCTTGAGCCTCAGAGAGTTGAACATCATCTTTATGGCATTCCTTGGTTTCTTTATCAGTTTCAAGAACATTATGTTTGATTCCCTGTGTTAATTGATATTAATAAGATATTGTTTATAAAAACGGTTCATGTTTCCTAAGGTGGTTGATACAGAACCTTTCCTGATGGTACTTGAAGAGATGTTTCCAAAGACTTTGAGTCATCGGAGGATTCCTTTGCTTACAATCGTTAGTGTTGTGATGTTCGTTCTTAGTCTCCCCTTAGCTACACAGGTAAGTCGGTGATTTTATTCAAAGCGTCATCCAAATTTCATCCAGCGATAATGTTATCTACGTTTCATAGGCTCTATCAAAAAAGTATTATAGATAAGACCACGAAATATCATTTAACGCTTGTTATTTAAAAGAGATTTCAATCGGACACGAACGGGAATATTCTGCATGGAAATATTAACAGACAAGTAACGATAAGGCCGAAACTGTTATGCATGTGTTTCATTTTAAGCAAGACAGGCCGACCATTTTATATTAGGGAGTACGAATCATGCTTTTATCATGAATTCCTTAGGAGTTTAAGCAGGGCAGAGGGTAAGGCATATATTTTGGTTAGACCCAAGCGCGGAGCACTGAATAAACGAAATAACGATATTCTGATATACGTTTTAAACTTCCACCTTAAGATTCGGATCATTTCTGTTTTGACCTTTGAAAATAAAACACCTAAAGCAACAGCAAAATGATTACATCCATCACATTTTACAGCTAGATATACCCCAGCATGTTTTCTTTCCGTTTGTTGATCTGTCTTAATGTATACTGAAAGGATAAAGAAACGCAGGGTAATATTTATTCCGATATTTTGAAAACGCGTTTTCCAAATAAAGTGAAACTTTGTGGATTGAGTAATCAGGTCATATTACACATTGTCATGTATCGAAAATTTAGTCACGGTACAGTGCGCAGCTCTGGTAAATGGAGGAAGGAAAAAACAAGAATCTCGTGCACCGTGTTGTTCTGGTCTCATGCAGCGTTGGTCAAGTCACTCTTCGTTAGTCTTTATACAGACCAACTTCTTCCCTAAAATTAATTGAGAATTTGATTCGTTTTAAGAATGGCACGACTCACAGAAGTTCAGAGGGGTCAGGTCATTCAGATGCTGATGCAAGGACAGCTGCAAAATCAGGTTGCTAGGCACTTTGGTGTTAATGTTTCCACCATAGAACGTCTTGTAAGACGTCTTCGTGAAACTGGGCGATTGGCCGATCGACCTAGGTCAGGACGTCCGCGCGTAACGTCACGGCGTCAGGATCGTTATATCGTCGTCTCTCATGTGCGTAATCGGCGCCTTACTGCCGTTGAGAGTGTACTTAATGTTCGTGGAAATCATGGGTGTCCTTTAATTTAAAAAACTCTAAGGAATCGATTACGAGAAGTTGGTGTAAGAGCACGTCGCCCCTACGTAGGTCCACACCTTAACCCTGCTCGACGTCAGCGTCGTATGGCCTGGGTCGCTGCACATGCTCCACGACGGTTTCCATTGAGGCAGTGGAGACAAGTTTTCTTCAAGGACGAGTCTCGATTCTGTCTTTATCGATCCGACGGCCGTTCAAGGTGTATACCGACGTCGTGGCGAACGTTTTACGGACGCTTGCGTTGAATAGGTTTGGGGGCGGTTTTAGTAATGGTGTGGGGAGGAATCTCACACGGGTTAAACTCACAGTTGGTTGTTATTGATGGCAATTTAACAGCAGCTAAGTATAGAGATGAGATCCTCCGACCCCATGTTATCCCTTTCTTACGGCAGCATAATCTAACCCTCCAGCAGGATAATGCTAGGCCCCACGTTGCAAGGATTTGCCAAGTCTTTCTGGCGAACAACAACATTCAACCACTAGATTGGCGACCATATAGCCCTGATTTGTCCCCGATAAAGCATCTTTGGGACCAGTTGGCTAGACAGGTTCGAAAGCGCCAGCCACCCCCTGCTACTCGAGAGCAGTTGACCAGAGCTCTGATTGAAGAGTGGGACAACATCCCCATAAGACGGATTAACGCTCCCATTAACTCTGACCAGAAGAATAAGGGCCGTGACCACAGCAAAGGGCGGACACACAAGATATTGATGACTCAGTTCAATTTCAATTTCAAAATCCTGTGGGTCCATTCAATTTAATCGTTAGTACCTCTAAACCAATTGTCAGATGCAAAATACAGACTTTGGAAATTTTTAAGCTTTAATTTATCTGTAATTATGCAAAATTTCGTTTTAAATGAAGCCCGATATCATACTTAATTTCTGGTTTAAAGTTCATCCTGCGTTTCTTTATCCTTTTAGTATAGTTGTTTGCTTATTACATTGAAACACGTGAGATACTGTACATACTCTTTGTTATTGTGTAATCGTCTCCGTGATCAGTGTGTTGTATTGTATAGGGTGGAGTGTACTTTTTCCTCTTGGTAAACTGGTACACAGGAACCTGGAGCGTTACTCTTATCTGTTTGGCTGAATGTGTAATCTTCGCTTGGATTTATGGTAAATAATTTCTTTAAATATTGTAAAATAGTTAAGTTTCGTCTTTTTTTTAGAATTTTATTTTAATTCACAAGGCGTATGTGTTTGTATGGAACCTCTACATCCACTACAAGTTCAGTTTTCCATCAGATTCCGACCTTTAAAAAGATTACATAATTATTGAATGTCTGTTCACATGAAATAATGCCACACGCAAAAACGAATGTCTTAGCACCCCAAATATATCATTTCACAGTATAACGATGGTGGTTGGACTGTGTCTGTTGATATCGCAGTTGTCTCCTCCTTTTGGTACTCTTTCTTTGATATCAATATCTATACAATGAGTTACTTTGAGTTATTAATTGTTTTTCTCTGTGACGTTATCAATTTTCAATTATGTCGATTCAATAAAACAATCTAGATATCAACACGACGGAAGAATGTGACGATGCTTCACATTAAAGTGATATTCATACAGCATTTTTAATATCACATCAGTTAATTAATTTGGAAATGTTACCTAACAGGTGCCCACAGGATCGATCGTGACGTCCGCTTGATGATTGGTCGCCCACTCCCTGTCATCGTCCGCTTCAGCACTGCTTTTATTATGCCTGTGTTTCTCACGGTATTAACGCAGATATGCTTTCAACTTATGAAAAACAAAGCACGTACTGTGCACACAGGAAATTATTTGTGGAATTTTAAGTGCAATCAATAGTATATCGGTTTCTAAATTTTGTACTTGATTGAGATTCTGTGTCGGCTTAATACTTTCCCCAAAAGAGATAAAAACAAAAAGTTGCATTAAATAGTAAATTATTCTATCAGAAAACGGAATAAAAATACCTCTGCTTCTTACTAACCACCGTTTTCACGAAAACCCTGTCTATAGCTGTCCACACCACCACCTTTGTGTGTAGGCTTATTCAAATATGTTGCTTTACCTTGATTATTGCGTTGTCTTATTACAGTGCCTCCTGTTCATCAGCATATTTACCTATAAACCACCGTCCTTTGGAGATTATGAATACCCTCTGTATGCTAGAGCTATTGGATGGTGTTTTATACTCATGGCCATCTTGCCAATTCTAATGTTCTGTGTGTGGATCATCAGCAAGGAAGAAGGATCATTGCATAATGTAAGATATCAAAACATTTAATTGCTTTCTACTTACAACCAACAAATTGCTCTAGAGTAAAGAAGTAATAGAAATACAAATGGTCAGCATAGTCTGTCATACGAGGGAAATGCTTTTGATATTTAGAGGGGAAAGTACAGTCACATTGACATTTTTGGCTAATCAGTCGACTGGTTGGTTGGCAGGTTTTTCGTCTCCGTGTCTCCTTCAACGGTGTAACATAAATGTAGTTATATATATATATCTGATATTTTGTTTATTTCACATTTCATATAATTATCAGTATTCATTTTATTACACTGGAAACGTAATTATATATTTTTCAGCATTTTCGCAATTTTCCGTCTCGCTTTTTTGTTTCTTTTTTTTTTTTTTTTTGAGACATAATTTGACATGGGAAAGGAGTTATTAGGTTTTCGCTTATTTTCCCATCCCATGTGTAGGCGTACTAATGTTGCATCGAACAAGAAAAGGTTGTCTAAACTAACTGGAGAACATTCGCAAAAAAAATTGCAAGGGGCATTAGGTGTATCAGATTTTAAAAGATAAAAAACGTGACCGATATATCTAGAACAGATTAAGTAAATACTTAAATTCTCTATTACAGCGACTTCAACATCTGTTACGGCACACAGCACAGTGGTCACCAGCCTCCGAGAAGGTCGAGGACGTACACAGGGCAACAGAATTGATGGCGAACTTTACATGGAAACAACTCTTTTGGTTTAATTTAACAGGGAAAGGGGGTATCATCATCGACAAAAGAAAGGAAGACGTGCCAATGTTGTAAAGGGACAGAGACTATCTATGAACATATGTGAGGTACATAGTGCTACAAGAAAGTCAATGTGAATTATGAACAAAATTTTATATGCTTCACTGGACAGCCACATCTTTACTGACCTTTACATGTACAATGACCTGCAGGTTCCTTGGAGACTAAAACTGGCAGAATTGTCTACCACCTGCAATCTGATAAACAACCACACAAGGTTTTATCATTTAAATGTCAAATCATTATTTATGCTAATTAAACTCATTTAGAGGAGCAATATGCTCATCACGTGCCTATACAGATAAAATCACATTTATCATATTAGTCATCGTATATATAATATAATATAATATGATATACTATAATAGTGTAATAATTCAAGCCATATTCGATTATGATAATGTAATGTTTTATCAGTTTATACAATGGACGAAACACGAATTAGTAACTAGGTACTTCCTCCTGACTTACAACATGTATACTCTAACGACAATAAACAAAATATACTCGAGCGAAATTTGTCACTTTTTGTATGTTTTATATGTAGCCATTCTGCTACATTAAAGGAAGAAAACGGCACCGCCAAATACCGAGTGGGTATGTCGGTCTTACGATTGGTGCTTTTGCATTCTTCATCATCTAGGGAGAAGAAGAAAACCAAAATAAAACGCCGACATATTAACTGCATCATAATTCATTCCAAATGCAAACAAAAATTTATGAAACTGCAAAACATGATAGAACGGAGACTCCTGAAAACGCATTAAGGAAAATAAGACCAGGTGTTCCCGAAGGGTGCGCGTCTTCTCCTTCATCGTCAAGGAACTCTTAGTCAATCCAATTATGTAGTGTCACAATCCAAAATTAGTACACGTTAAACAACAATGGAATCACCAGGTGTACAAGAAGCTTCATAATGCAAAAAGAAAGAGATTTTTCGGAGAGATTACTAAAACGACCGCAAAAATTTCCTCATAATCTTCATCAATCTGCAACTCTCGAAATCTTGTGTGGTAAGTTTGTCTATCAGTTGCCGACATCATGCAAGAAAATCGTGATACTGGAAAGAAGCCCTAGCATATCGAATCAGCTACAAGAGGTAAACACCATGGGTTGGGGTTGCAAGGCAGATAATACCCAGATCCACTCAGAACAATGATAACAGAATACAACTTTAAAAATATAAAAATGTTGATTATCGGCAAGAAAACTACTTTTTCTTGTAGCTAAGGTGATCGTATGCTTATTTATGATGCAGAGAATGTGTAGCTTAGTGTTGATGTTTACATCCATACACCTGTCTGTCGTGGTTATAATAGCTTGTTGTGTGCCTAATCTATATTTTGTTTCATCAATGTTTCGTGGCCAGGTCTGTATTTATTCATGTATTGGACTGGACAGTAAACACCTGACCAATCGACTGATGACAGCACTTGCACGGACATTTAATTGTAAATTCCCTCACCGTTGCACCTGTACATACAACACTGTCTATTGGGTCTAAAACTGGAAATCCAAAACTCTCACACTGCTAAAAAATCAACACATACGTACAAAACATCACACACACAAGCATACAAACCAAATAAACACTATACAAGTATCCACCCCCACACACCCACCCCTGCCATCTCGTCCTATATTATTTCATACTGACAGCGCTAGCATTAAGCAATTAACGATAGCTGATTGAAGTGTGATTAGTGATATACGATAGTCTACTGCTGTTATCCATTGTGTGTTCTATGAGTTTGAAATTGAATGTGTTGTATCGTGTTAATCTAGAAATAAACAATTCTAAACAATAGTTCAGGCGTTGGTTTGTTGTTCCACGACCTTCAGAGGCTTACAATAGCGCCAGAGTGGGGCTAGAGAATAAAACTAAGCGGTACTTTCACAGTCATTGCTCTAACCCTGGAAACTCAAAATGAAATATTTCCTGGAGGGGGAGTATGTAACCCTGGTAAAATACTAGCCACAATGTACCGCTCGACTGGAGAGAACTCTTTAGCTCGATCAGTTGAGCGTCAGACTAGTAAGTCAGAGGTCCCGGATTTGAATCTTAGCGGAGGTATTGAAATAATAAACTCAGTATGATAGTAGAGATTGGATCATGAATTTTTCATCGAGTGTTAAACCAACGTGATGATGATGATGATGATGAAGTACCTTTAAATAGCTTGCTTTATATATTTAATCAGGCTCGTATGTTCACATACAATATAAACAAGTCCAGTGTACAAGAACATTGTATAAGATTTAAATGCTAATTACACACAAGTATAATAACACACAGCTCTACTATGACATATTCGTCTGAATAAATAACACAATAATGAAGCAAAAGGACATATTTGTTCTAGAAGATCAACAACAATGAATCTAAAGAGAATTTATGTGTAACTGAACACATAGACATTCGATCCTCTGTATCACTACAATCAATATTATCACTACAAATTACAAAATTGCTAAATTATCTGACAGTTGCATTGTTCACACATAGGCGAGTGTAATGCGTTATCAGTATCAGCCGATAACAATAGTATCCCTATTCCGATAATACATTCACAATCTTGACCACTGTCCAGAGAGCATTTTAGATATTTGTTCCGACATTTATATATAAGCTTCAGGGATTTAATCACGACTAAATCGTTATTATGGAGGATGTCATTCTTGACCGTATCACCATGACGACAGATGACAAGGAGGGACTTGTGGATATGGAAGAAGAAGACAACATCAAGACTAAGAGAGAGTGCTATAAAATTCTGGCTGTGATAAGTACTATATGGATATTTACGTTTACTGCCTATTCAGGACTACAGAATCTAGAGAGTAGTTTGAACCCTGGAGTGGGAACGTATTCCCTAGCCGCGTTGACAGGAGGTGGACTTGTGTCCTGTCTTCTAGCTCCAGCTGTACTCAATTTCATCGGTCCAAAATGGGCACTCGTTATATCCTGGGTGTGTCTATGTGTATTTATTGGAGGGAACTATTACCCGAAAAACTACATTTTGATTCCTGCAGCAGCGATAGAGGGATTATCAACCGGGATAATGTGGACTGCACAGGGCATTTATGTAGCACATGCTGCCATGCAGTTCTCTAGCATATCTGGAGAATCTTTCGATAGCGTACTAAGTAGGTTTTTTGGGATTTTCTGCATGGCATTCCAGAGTACTCAGATCTGGGGAAATCTCATCTCTTCCGCCGTGCTCCAGCATGGTCACAAACCACCTCCAATGCCAAACACTACTCTGGTGTGCGGGGCAGACGAATGTCCCACTAGTATGTCAATACCAGCTCTTCCGGAGACTACAATCATTTACATACTCATTAGTATTTACATGGGACTTACTGTCATTGGGCTCTTTATAACGCTGTTTTTACTGAAGCCTTTGAAGAAGAAAATGGATCAGGAGAGTATAGGCAAGTTACTTCTGTCAACTGTTAAGTTACTGGCTACAGACATCAACATGGCTTTGTTAGTACCTTTTAGTTTCTACACTGGCTTGGAGCAAGTCATCATGTACGCCGAGTACACAAAGGTAAAAAATCACCAAGTTCATATACATATAAACGATGTCATGTGACCGGCTATATGCCATGTTCTTGATATGTGTTGACATTCATGGCTATATGAACGCAAATAATTTACAATAACATTGCTTGGTATCCGTTTGAGTTTCGCCTACAATTGGTGTATTCACATTTGAATCGATATGCATCTTGGAAACCTACATAGCATAATGTTTTGACTACAGAAATATTAACAAAAATAACTATATTTGTGGTACTGAAAGTCTGAGAAAGCCTGTCGACAACATATGGTTCTGTATTATAAAGTGTTTACACGACGCTGATCATAAGTAGTTGTTGTTCTCGTAAAGCTTCAGCTTCATCAACGACACAAGCCATATCTAATTTGGTCAAACCAAGTAGGTAATCTCACGTTTCCAAATGAGAACAAGATAAACAATTAGAGAATCACCAAACATACTGACTAATATCAAACATGTCCAGCTTACCCTGATAGAGTTAACAATGGGGAGTTTCGTTGCAGCTAGGAAGAAGACGTTTCAGGACACTACAATATCGATAGGTCTAACTCCTAGGAAATTTATCGCAGATTCCGTGCCATTAACTACTCCAGGTGAAAGTTGACGAGATATAAAGTTTTCATTAAAGCACCAATGTCTGGGTTACGTTTATCTTCGAGTTGGAAGACTTCCTGGAAAAAGAACAAGAGTAAATGAAAGTAGCTATCGGATAACTAGTAGCCTCATCTTTTATGGGGATGAAACTTCAATCTTTCCTTTCTATATACAGCGGCACATACTCTGCGTTTCGTCTCCAAGATTGTACAAAAGACACAAGTGAATAGCAACTTTTAATATCATAGATTTAGATACAGTAGAACCAAGCAATGAATAGAATTAACATACGTGAACAGAGTTATTAACTGTCCAACATCTTGCATTTCAGTCGTTTGTAGCCTGCCGACTAGGAGTTGAGTGGGTGGGTTACACAATGATATGTTTCGGAGTTTTCAATACCATGGGCTCCCCTCTAAGTGGAACCTTGGCCAAGTACGTTGGACGAGGCTTGTTACTGTTAATTGCCTTCCTTCTAAATCTTGGCGTCCTTGCTGGCCTCCGATTTTGGGCTCTCCCAGAGGATCCTACCTTTAAACAGACGATATTGTTCTTTGTGTTCCCAGGGATATGGGGACTGGCGGACTCTATATGGCAAACTCAAAGTGCAAGTAAGGCCCTTTTTATCTAAAGCAAAACCTCTCTTTATCTCTTCTGAAACAATGAGATTGATACTTACACTGTAATTTGAAGGAGAAAACAATAGGTATTGATGTGTTGATAATGTGACTATTACACCTTTACCAATGGGCACAATATAGAGGTGCAGAATTACGCGGTAGATTCACATTAGCTAATTTCTTTTATCCCATTTTAGTAAGGATTTCACATGACAAATAATTAATATCTTTTATATAAATTCAGTATAATTTTTTGAAATCGATTACAATTACGCTATTGAGAAAATACTGAGATAAACCCAAACAACACGATGCAGTACTTGTAATATCCTTACAGTTTCAATACAACCATGGCTGCTTCGTTCTCGAGGGAATGCCACGATAACACAATAACACGTTATATATGATAAACCAATTAATTCTAAAGTGTACCTTTATTGATTTTAGCCCTTGTGGGAGTGGCCTTCAAAGACAAACAAGAACCGGCGTTCGCTAACTTGCGATTGTTCCAGGCAATGGGTTTCACTGTAGCGTATCTATATAGTATACACCTGTGTGAGTTCATCAAGTTGTACATCGCGGGGGCCTATGTCACTTTGTCTATGGTGCTAGTGGCTGTTGTCGAAATCCGCCTTCGTAGACAAGCGAGCAGCAATGACATCCAGATGAAATCATCGGAATACTGAACACTACGATCAAGGTTTTAAAGCATTGGGTATACTAGTATCACATTCAACTTTCAACCTGCTGCTTGACATCCTTGGTTTCAAGGGTGGCTACTCGTTATTTCAAATTAAAGCGGCATTAAGTTAGTAACAAAACAACTTCATCAATCAAAAGAGTTCCAAACATCAACATCATCAAGTATATTAATGATTTAAATGTTATATATCATAGATAAACAGCGAATCATCTATATGAATTAAACAACTTTTCATAAACCATATAACTTCGTGACAAACACCCTCTGTGTGTGAGTTGTCAAACTTCATGACAATGAATATCCTCAGTATGTCAGATTCGTCAACCCTCCTGACAAAAAAAAACCCTCTGTGTGTAAGTGTCGCCATTCCTCAAGACAAAAAAAACCCTCTGTGTGTGAGAGTCGTCATTCCTCACGACAATAAACACCCTCTGTGTGTGAGAGTCATCAACCCTCATGACAATAAACATCCTCTGTGTGTGAGAGTCGTCATTCCTCAAGACAATAAACACCCTCTGTGTGTGAGAGTCGTCATTCCTCACGACAATAAACACTCTCTGTGTGTGGGAGTCGTCATTCCTCACGACAATAAACACTCTGTGTGCGAGAGTCGTCATTCCTCACGACAATAAACACCCTCTGTGTGTGAGAGTCGTCATTCCTCATGACAATAAACACCCTCTGTGTGTGGGAGTCGTCATTCCTCAAGACAATAAACACCCTCTGTGTGTGAGAGTCGTCATTCATCAAGACAATAAACACTCTCTGTGTGTGAGAGTCATCAAACCTCGTGACAGTAAACACCCTCTGTGTGTGAGAGTCGTCATTCCTCAAGACAATAAACACCCTCTGTGTGTGAGAGTCGTCAAACCTCGTGACAGTAAACACCCTCTGTGTGTGAGAGTCGTCATTCCTCAAGACAATAAACACCCTCTGTGTGTGAGAGTCGTCATTCCTCAAGACAATAAACACCCTCTGTGTGTGAGAGTCGTCATTCCTCAAGACAATAAACACCCTCTGTGTGTGAGAGTCGTCATTCCTCATGACAATAAACATCCTCTGTGTGTGAGAGTCATCAACCCTCATGACAATAAACATCCTCTGTGTGTGAGAGTCGTCATTCCTCATGACAATAAACACCCTCTGTGTGTGTGAGTCGTCATTCCTCATGACAATAGACCTCCTCTGTGTGTGAGAGTCGTCAAACCTCGTGACAGTAAACACCCTCTGTGTGTAAGAATCGTCATTTCTCAAGATAAGAAACATCCTCTGTGTGTGAGAGTCGTCAACCCTCATTACAATTAACAACCTGTGTGTGAGAGTTGTCAACTCTCATGACAATAAACACCCTCTGTGTGTAAGAGTCGTCATTCCTCATGACAATAAACACCCTCTGTGTGTGAGAGTCGTCATTCCTCATGACAATAAACACCCTCTGTGTGCGAGAGTCGTCATTCCTAATGACAATAAACACCCTCTGTGTGTAAGAATTGTCAACACTCATGACAATAAACACCCTCTGTGTGCGAGAGTCGTCATTCCTCATGACAATAAACACCCTCTGTGTGTGAGAGTCGTCATTCCTCAAGACAATAACACCCTCTGTGTGTGTGAGTCGTCAACTCTAATGACAATAAACACCCTCTGTGTGTGAGAGTTGTCAACTCTCATAACAATTAACACCCTCTGTGTGTGAGAGTCGTCAACCCTCATGACAATAAACACCCTCTGTGTGTGAGAGTCGTCATTCCTCAAGACAATAAACACCCTCTGTGTGTGAGAGTCGTCAACCCTCATGACAATAAACACCCTCTGTGTGTGAGAGTCGTCATTCCTCATGACAATAAACACCCTCTGTGTGTGAGAGTCGTCATTCCTCAAGACAATAAACACCCTCTGTGTGTGAGAGTCGTCATTCCTCAAGACAATAAACATCCTCTGTGTGTGAGAGTCATCATTCCTCAAGACAATAAACACCCTCTGTGTGTGAGAGTCGTCATTCCTCAAGACAATAAACATCCTCTGTGTGTGAGAGTCGTCATTCCTCAAGACAATAAACACCCTCTGTGTGTGAGAGTCGTCATTCCTCATGACAATAAACACCCTCTGTGTGTGAGAGTCGTCATTCCTCAAGACAATAAACATCCTCTGTGTGCGAGAGTCGTCAAACCTCGTGACAATAAACACCCTCTGTGTGTGAGAGTCGTCAACCCTCATGACAATAAACACCCTCTGTGTGTGAGAGTCGTCAACCCTCATGACAATAAACATCCTCTGTGTGTGTGAGTCGTCAAACCTCGTGACAATAAACACCCTCTGTGTGTGTGAGTCGTCATTCCTCATGACAATAAACACCCTCTGTGTGTGAGGGTCGTCATTCCTCAAGACAATAAACATCCTCTGTGTGCGAGAGTCGTCAACCCTCATGACAATAAACACCCTCTGTGTGTGTGAGTCGTCATTCCTCTTGACAATAAACACCCTCTGTGTGTGTGAGTCGTCATTCCTCATGACAATAAACACCCTCTGTGTGTGAGAGTCGTCATTCCTCATGACAATAAACACCCTCTGTGTGTGTGAGTCGTCATTCCTCATGACAATAAACACCCTCTGTGTGTGAGAGTCGTCATTCCTCATGACAATAAACACCCTCTGTGTGTGAGAGTCGTCATTCCTCATGACAATAAACATCCTCTGTGTGTGAGAGTCGTCAACCCTCATGACAATAAACACCCTCTGTGTGTGAGAGTCGTCATTCCTCATGACAATAAACACCCTCTGTGTGTGAGAGTCGTCATTCCTCATGACAATAAACACCCTCTGTGTGTGAGAGTCGTCATTCCTCAAGACAATAAACATCCTCTGTGTGTGAGAGTCGTCAACCCTCATGACAATAAACACCCTCTGTGTGTGAGAGTCGTCATTCCTCATGACAATAAACACCCTCTGTGTGTGAGAGTCGTCATTCCTCATGACAATAAACACCCTCTGTGTGTGAGAGTCATCATCGTCATTCCTCATGACAATAAACATCCTCTGTGTGTGAGAGTCGTCATTCCTCATGACAATAAACACCCTCTGTGTGTGAGAGTCGTCATTCCTCATCCACAATAAACACCCTCTGTGTGTGAGAGTGTCAACCCTCACAATAAACATAAACACCCTCTGTGTGTGAGAGTCGTCATTCCTCATGACAATAAACACCCTCTGTGTGTGAGAGTCGTCATTCCTCATGACAATAAACACCCTCTGTGTGTGTGAGTCGTCATTCCTCATGACAATAAACACCCTCTGTGTGTGAGAGTCGTCATTCCTCATGACAATAAACACCCTCTGTGTGTGAGAGTCGTCATTCCTCAAGACAATAAACACCCTCTGTGTGTGAGAGTCATCAACCCTCATGACAATAAACACCCTCTGTGTGTGAGAGTCATCAACTCTCATGACAATAAACACCCTCTGTGTGTGAGAGTCGTCATTCCTCAAGACAATAAACATCCTCTGTGTGTGAGAGTCATCAACCCTCATAACAATAAACACCCTCTGTGTGTGAGAGTCGTCATTCCTCAAGACAATAAACACCCTCTGTGTGTGAGAGTCGTCATTCCTCAAGACAATAAACACCCTGTTGTGTGTGATGCTGTCTTCACATTATTCTTTACAAACTTTAGGGGCTGGTACATTGTATCTTGTCTGCTGTCTTCACATATTATTCTTTATAAACATTAGGGGCTGGTACATTGTATTTTGTCTATAGGGGCTGGTACATTGTATCTGGTATGCTGTCTTCACATATTATTCTTTACAAACTTTAGGGGCTGGTACATTGTATCTGGTATGCTGTCTTCACATATTATTCTTTACAAACTTTAGGGGCTGGTACATTGTATCTGGTATGCTGTCTTCACATATTATTCTTTACAAACTTTAGGGGCTGGTACATTGTATCTGGTATGCTGTCTTCACATATTATTCTTTACAAACTTTAGGGGCTGGTACATTGTATCTGGTATGCTGTCTTCACATATTATTCTTTACAAACTTTAGGGGCTGGTACATTGTGTCTTGTCTGCTGTCTTCACATATTATTCTTTACAAACTTTAGGGGCTGGTACATTGTGTCTTGTCTGCTGTCTTCACATATTATTCTTTACAAACTTTAGGGGCTGGTACATTGTGTCTTGTCTGCTGTCTTCACATATTATTCTTTACAAACTTTAGGGGCTGGTACATTGTGTCTTGTCTGCTGTCTTCACATATTATTCTTTACAAACTTTAGGGGCTGGTACATTGTGTCTTGTCTGCTGTCTTCACATATTATTCTTTACAAACTTTAGGGGCTGGTACATTGTGTCTTGTCTGCTGTCTTCACATATTATTCTTTACAAACTTTAGGGGCTGGTACATTGTGTCTTGTCTGCTGTCTTCACATTATTCTTTACAAACTTTAGGGGCTGGTACATTGTATCTTGTCTGCTGTCTTCACATATTATTCTTTACAACTAATGACTGATGGCAGTTCCCTCTTATCAGTTGTGCTTTTGGAAGAAATATTGATAAAGAAATAACACAACAGAAATAGAAACTTTAATTTTTTTAATTTTGAAAATATCTATCTTTTGGTGTGGTAGTAATATTTTAACAAAAACAACTGAAAATAAATATGACAGAAAACTAAATGCAAAAACTAAAACCTTAATGGCTAGAGTGTACCGATATTCCCCATTATAAGGTAAGTTTAAGCTTCCATAAAAAAACAATAAATGCGAGAACAACCTAGCTGAAGCATCAAAAATCTCATCATTAATGAAAATTTAGAGAGTGTTTATAGGTTTCTGCATTAATTAGTGACAAACGAATATGATTCTATACTGGGGGGGTGGGGGGGTGGGGGTATTTTTGTTGATTTCATGAGTACTCTGAATCTGTAAATTTGCAAGTATATGTGCATGAAAAACTAGCTTGGGTTATAATACAAAATACTATTCAGTATCATATTCTCATCTACTTTTAAATTTTATAACATAGCACATGATAAATCATGATATTATTTTAGAAAAGTTTCTTTGCATGAAGATATGCAGGAAAATTGTAATAAAATGGAATCATTTGAAAACAGGACAAACGAAATTTGTTATAATACAAAATTCACTCAACTTTTAATGAAAGGAAATTGTTCTAATAGATTTGGTTTCAGTTCCAGTTGTAAATGACACATCAATCCCAACCCAGTACTCTACATATAAAATTTTGAATTTAAAAACCCAATTTCAAAACATTGGAAGTTTCCATAACGTTTAAACTCAGTATTTAAAAATATGATTGATGATAAATCTTTTGAGGTCATACAATTGATTTAGATTTTGGGGCAATTTACAAAGACTCAAAAATAATTTATTGCTTAAATCATGCTTTAAAAGTTAGATGTAACAGGTAGTATATGGGTCCCATAGAATTCAGAGTACAACAATCATACTTAGCTCCCTTACAGTATTTGTATAGGCAGTTTTCTTGTATAGTATACTGCTTGTTACAACATATACAGCCCCAGTAGGCTTGTTGTCATGTGATTATATTACAGTCAGTGTATGTTCCAGAAATGCAGTCATGAACCCTTAGCATCATATACAAGTCTGAGTCCTTCACCCTTTCTATTTTTCACATGTAATGCACATCTAATACATGAAACATTGCCATTACTGTTCCATGGCTGTGATAAGAATATAACGACTTATACAAGCACTATGTTCTTCTTTCTGAATACCTTCATTTTTTATACAATGTATTCACCACTGTACTATACAATAATGAAATAAAGTTTAAACTAATTAAGAGTGTTTTTATTGTCATATTAACACAAGTCAGTCATTTACTGGCATGATCATTACAGATATCCACTCTTTATACTTGTACATAAAGTATAACGGACATCTTTTAATGAAATTGCTGATCTGCTTGCAAAGTTTAGTGGAAACATACTGAAACTGGAATACAAAGAGCAAATCTCTTCCGTACTTTTTGAAATATACACAAAGACAGTTAACAAGTAAAGATAGCATGACAATAACAATAAGCATTTCTTAATCACATGTGTATATCAAAACAATACAGTAGTTGTCTCCCTTCAGGTCACATTGGCACTTTGTATATAAAATATTTACAATATGACTGTAGTATTCTGTTACAACGTACAATTAAATCTATTCAAGCAAATTATTTTAATAGCAACATTTGGCAGACCCATAAACTTAGAATCTTTTTTTTAGAAGTTTTTTGTTGCAGTGATTTGATAGGCTAAATATAGTCAGAACACAAAATAAAAATCCCTAATCATCCAACATATCATTTTTATTAGGAAAGTATTTCATTACAGGTACTGATCCATTCTATGTAGAAGTTACATTTTCTTTCCCTAACATTTTGATCTTCCATAATTACTTCCCTTTATTTCAGTAACAGAGTGTAACCTGGAGGGTTGAAAATATTGAAATGTCAAACACAAATCACTGTTTCTGCAGAAATTATCTTTATTAAAAATTACAAAAAAAATGTACTTTCTATTTAATTGAAAAATTTGATTAATTCATTTAGAACTAGATGTACACATGAAAAAAGCCAACAGGGCATTACCCTGTGGATATCTACAAGTATACAAATTTCATAGAATCTTGTATATAAAATAAATTCATTTTATGCATTCTAAATAGATTAAATAGCACTAAAAGGCTGTAAAGTTACACGTCTCTAATGTTTAATATTTGGTGACAAAATAAACTCTAGACTTCAACATTTTTACTTAAAAAGAATATAAACTTTTTAACTCAAACCAACTAAATATCTCCAGCTGGTACACAATCTTATACGCTTAATTTTAAAAAAATGAACACTTCCGGACTCCGATATTGATATTGAAGAAAATAATCAAGAGGGATTTGAATTCATGATTGACTCCACCACTATTGCAAAAATAAATCCAATGTGAAATTTAAGTGATTTACAGTGACTGGTGTCCCTTTATATCTGTTGGACAGAGGTATGTGATAGGACACAGATATTGAAAGTGTTCGTGTAAATCCTCACTGATATTATCATATCCTTTTTCCAGATGGTATATCTCAGTTCTTCTTTGTATGTATTGTTAACTTTAAATCTGTTCAGTAGGAGAGTCCTATGAAAGTTCCATTACTTTCAATCATCGTAACTCCTGATTACCTCTACATTTTCACATGGAAGATCTGTACGAGATGGGTACACCACCTTCATCGTGGTGTCACAGTCCAAAATGCGAACCTGTTCTACTACTAGCCGCTTGGGGGTACTGTTGTCAGCTTCGGGCTTAGCACTTGCACTTGCTTCATCACCATTGCCCTTGTTGGCTCTGGCCCCACATCCCATCTCCAGCATTTTCAATAACAGTTCATCCATCGCCTTCTTACACACATCCAAGCTAGTGGAACTGGTCACTTCTATAAACAGCTCAGTTGTTTCTTTAGAAATCTAAACAAAAGAGATAAACCTGTACTCACACAAAGCTTTCAATATTCGCATACCTTATTTGACCCAATAAGCCCCCATTTCCCTATCACCACCCCTCCCCCTATTTTTCAGATACAAAAGTTCAGATCTACACACCTATTTATCTTCATTCAAGTGACCTTCGGGTGGTCCTTTAAACACAATGTATATTACACCACATGGCTGTATTGCAAGCATTGATAAAAGATTTACAACTGTGTGGTGCTTATAATATCAGTTTGTTGACATTTATTAACTGTAATCTATTGTATGTAATGAATTAAATGTTTTGATTGAACATCTGCTCTGAGATGTGATCCAGTTGTTCAGCAAAATAACAGGAAGTATGACTGTCCATGTGTTCACTGTGTCACCCATGTGTAATTTATCACTCATGTGTAACCTTGTTTTAATTGTGTGCACATGCTATACATGTTTTTGTTCGATTTGACAATAAAATGTACACAGTTATACATTTTTTGTATAGTTTTTAATGGTTTACTTCTGTTTTTCTCATCATCAATGCCCCAGAAATGTAAAGTGAATCAGAGCTGGCCAGCATCTTTTTTACTGATGAGTGTACACCAATTTGATCGCAATAAGTGTCCACCCCTTTTCTTAATTGTTTTGAGCACCCTTGGTGGGTTGAATATAAAATATCTGTTTATGAATCATATTTATTTTTTTTTATCTTTTAACTTAACATGTCAAAATATAGAAATATAACCCGTAAAGCTTTCCTCAATTCTTAAATGAAAACGTGTGAAAATTTTGGGACCCTATGTACAGTCATTATTTGTACTAGTACCTTCATAAATTGTACATAAAATTGAACATTTATGTTATATTACAATGGAATTATTTACACAGGAGAACACAATTTGGAAAAAAATCTCTAAAGCAAAATTGTCATGGTCATGTTAATGTTAACTTAGCTGATCATGTGCTTTAATTTTCAACACATTTCATTATAAAATACACTGTAGAATATTTGTTGCAATAGATCTGAAAAAATATTAAAAAGAAAAACAACATAAGATCCATTTTTAGCTGGATACTTTGACAGCAAAGACAAACTTTGATAATTTTATGAAGCATTACCTTGGTCTTGTCACTGTTTGTGATGGGTGGAAACGAGATGACATCACCCTCACCATCTACTAAACATGGGTATTGCACTTTGTCTTTTAATAAATCCAGATACCTGAAAACATTAAATAAAAAATTTGATTGATTAAAATGTAGGTAAAGGATATACACAAATTCAATCCTTGTTATGCTGAAAGTCTATCCCACACATTCACCCAATGATCAAATTCTATTTCCACATAAAATCTATACATTTTATGAAAGAATTTTGCATGACAATGGTATTGAAACACAGTAAAAAATATGGTTAGATATTTTAAAGTTGTTACAACTAGCTAAAGTACAATAATGGTAGCCAATGACAATGGTAAAGAGAGTGTCTCACTGTCAACATATAACAAACAGGTACAGTGATATTTTATAATAACTTGCTTATTTTCAGAGATTATCTCCCTTCATTAACTAAAAATCACAATTGTACAAATATAAAAAAACAAAGAATCAGATATATATGGTTTGTAAGAAGAAAGCAGGAAAACACATAGCTGTAAAAAGACGTAATGTACAATGTATCTTACCTACAAAGATGACACAGGTTACACCATTAGCATGAATAGACACGCCGGTTTTCATTTGATAAGGTTTTGAATTATTTATAAAACTCTATTCAAGGCCAATCACTTATATTCTAAAATTGAATCTGACTTAGTTCAGAATAGATCTAAGGAATGTACCTTTACTTAACACAGTGGATAACATGACAGAGGAGACAAAAATTGATGTTAACACGAAGTAATTTCTTGAGAGAACGTTTTCTCAGAAAATGATCTAAAATAAGGCAAATATTAAAATCTTTTATATTTTGATTTCCTCTTATCCTAATTTCTGGCAGAAAACACCGACCAAATTTTCAACAGCTCTACGATACATGTCTCATTAGAAACCTCAAACTACAAAAAGGTTAAACATAAGCATGTTTATTATTAAAGCCTTACTGATGAATCCCAGAGAGCGTATTTCTTTTCTTCTCTCTTCTGTAATCTTCGGCCTCCTTTCGCAGATCAGCCATTAGTTTTTCTCCTGACGACTCTTTCTTCTTGAACAGGGGCACAATCTGACCAACATAAATATGTGGCATTCACATGTAGGTCTTATTATAAAAAAAAAGGATCAATCTGAATTAACAGAGTAATGATGTGGGAAAAAGTCCATAAATTTCTCAGTCCACATAATACTGGAATCAGAATTAGTAACGGCTGGTTTGTTTACATCTTGTAAAAGCCACTGTTCATGTATGCTGAACTATTTGGTGAGTGCCTCTAAAATAAGATGTTACATCCTACCTAGAACAGCATTGGACAAAATTCTAATTGTTCAGTTAAACAAAAGCCTGGAACATATCTGTCATTTGTATATCTCTGCATTTTGTGTTTTTATCTACAAAAAGGATACCTAAAGTTCTGCAAAGATCATTGAACACATGTTTCAAATGCAGAAACACAGCTCCATGTTACTACCCCTTTGCAGTTTGAAAAGGGGAGATAACAAAGCCCACTGCTTACCTTTAGAACAGGTGGGAACATGGCATCATAGGTAAGGGGTTGCTTGACACTCTTCAGATCATGAGTTGCGATAGTGGCAGCCTGCCTTTTCTGACATATCCCATCATGAAGCTTCGTCTGAATTATAATGAATATAATATGAAAAAAATGTACATCGGTAATACAGAATAATATACATGTAAACAAATTTTTCAACAACGGAATACATTGAATGTTTTAAATGATAATGGATATAATTACTACAACAGTAGGCTGGTAAAGTATATTACAGTGAAAATGGCGAAGCAGTTTGTTACACAAATATTCATGCAATTTTCTGGATAACAAAAATTTAATTTGTGAATGACAGCAACCAAGTTGCTTTTAATGCAAACAGAGAAAATAAGATATTATAACTAAAGTAAACCATATGTATTACACACTGTCAATGCATTACCTGTAGAGTGATGAAGTTTTTAAACATGTTCACTGACTGTTGGAAATCAAGTTCTCTGACAATACAGCAGACAATGTACTGTCTAACAGACAGAACTGCTGGTTTCAACTGCACTGTAAATCCTGCCTCTGCTGCTTCAGCAAAATGTAAGATGTTAATCATGTTCTTTATGATATCTTGGACCGCTACTTGTTCTTTCTTCCCACCTTTCTTTTTCTTCCCTTTTCCCTTCTTTCCTGTCTGTTCCTGCTCTTTCTTTAACTGTGTTGCAAGATAGTCTAACACAGATTTATGGCCACATTGATCTACCATTTTTCCGAATCTTCTATCTTTGAATTTGTTTCCTTTCAAATTAAGTTCTTTGAGTTTTGCACATTCACTCAATTCAGATGGAACCTCCACCAGCTTGTTGTTTGATAAATCTAAAGTATTCAAATGGGTCAAATCAACAACATCTGCAGAGAGTTCGGTGATATCATTGTCGTTTCCTAAAATCTTGCTCAAGTGTACAAGAGATGAAGAGAAAATCCCTTCAGGTAGTCTCTCTAGTTGGTTGTGTGAAATGTTGAAAATGTGTAAAGCTCCTAGAGACCCCACAGCTGGGAACTCGGATAATTCATTCATAGATACATTCAAAGTCTGCAAATTTGTTAAGGGTGAAATATTATCAGGAAAAGAAGTAATCTGATTATTGGACACATCCAGAAGCTTCAGCGACGTAAGTTTTGTGATTTCATTCGGTACAGACGTGAGGTTATTGTTGTGCAATACCAAATCAGTGAGATTTGTCAGTCGACCGATACTACATCCAACATCGGAAAGGCATGTTTTCGATATGTCTAGAAAATTTAACAGAGACAAATCGAAAAGGTTTTCGTCAATGCCACCATCCTTGATCCTCCGACTGATCTCTTGTCCATGAAGAGTTAGTTCGCGACGGTTTTCAGAGGCTGCCAGCTGAACTTCGGGCCATGTGTTAGCCATTGCAATAGTTTAAAGCTTCTGCATGATCGCGAGTACGATATTGACGCGTACAAAATTAAAACCGTTTTAAAGTCGATAGTCCGGAAAAGCAATGTGTTTCTAATATAATATATAGATAGTATACGAGAATATCATGCCTGAAAAATTTAAGATGTGTGTAGCAAACAGTGCCTTTAAAAACGAGAGCGAATACGCATGACTGTTAGTTTTAGAAATAAGTATGTTAAAGTATACGATATAGCAGGAATCCCGAAAATGATTGATATAAATATTGATGGTGTGTTTACACGAAACGTATGCTGAATGACCGTTTTAGTGATTACGTTATCCGCTGTATCAAGTATCGCAATGATACAGATTTTGTTACTCATCACCAGTGAGTTAAATGGACTTTAATGGATGATGTCACGACTGTCAAACGAAATTTCAAACTTTAAATTGTTAGTTATCATTATGGACTTTGATACTTGTATATTCTATTTGAGTGATACATATAATGAATTATCATAATTTTTACCGCAATAAAAATGAATCATCACTTAACACTTAACAGTATCCAGCCACGTTATCATTTTGTATATTATAACATCACATGATTATCAGAACACGAGTTAAATGGTCTTATTGGATTTACATTCATTCGCGGACTTCCGTGTTTTCTACTGAAGGGGGTGGGGGTTGGAAAGATCTGAACTGATATGCTGCCTTATTACGACACATGCTATCTTCATGTTTCCCTTTATTTTCTCTCTTTCTCCACTGTTGGTGTCCCTCTTGACACCTCTCCTCATATGATCTTGGAAAATGTGCAGACGTTTACCTCCGTAAATAACCAAATATTTAGCGGCTGTTGTGACAAACAGATGAAGTTTTGTAGTAGACCAATGCATTCTTAAAGGAAATAAAGTACAGAACTACCACACATGCTTTTCATTTAGGTTATTGAGAATATCGATTTATCAATTATATACATTCCATCATCTAGAGGAAAAAAATTAGCCGGAATTTCAATACAATATGTTATTTACTTGTACATTACCCAAATGAAATTTTGACATACAATACATATTGGTATCCTAATGATACATTCTTTTGTAGGCGTGCTTCATATGGAGCATCAAAATTATTTTGCAGCAAATTAAGTATAAAAAATGTTAGGCTGAGTTTCAACAATGTACCATGCTGGCGTTGTCTTTAATTTAGATAATATCTATATTAGAATTCTTGTAATTAATCTTGTTATTTACATTACAAGATTTTTTTTAGTATTTTCTTTAACCTGTTTCCAACTCATCGATCATTACCTACTAACGTTTACAGTGCGCAAGAAGGACTCGTTGCCAAAACAACGCCTGCGATGCACTTTAGGTCTTCACGAACGCATGCATAATTTACCATATCAATTTAACACTTGATTGAACGATACAGTTAAATCACAGATACAAGAGAAGACTCCATTCTAATGTCGTCAAATGATGCATTATGGATGTGCTTGGTGTGATTTGGTACTGTAAGCAACAGTACATGTACTGTTTTAACTATTTCTTAGGTTCATAAAGTGATCGAAAAGTTTTCTAACTTTGCCGTGGGAGGTGCTTGCTTGAACAGTCTTTCTCTTTTTGATATACTCCGTTTTTCCTCCTCCACGTGACACATTAAAGTGATAAATATAAGTAAATATGTTTTCTTTCATAAACCGTTATGAAATTATTTTAAAAAAGTGATTGCAGTTCTGCTGTGTCAGAAATGTAGAGAAACTGGTTTAATAATCAATATCCATTTTTCAAACGTGCTCCAAAAATTACATGGCATCTCACTACAATTTTTCCCGTCTTTTAGATATCACCAGATTAAACGTCATACAGTAGGCAATATTGTCGTTACCCCGAAATCATGTGTTTTTGGAGGAAGCTGAGTTTGTCGTATTAGGGAACATTGATTTTACATTGATTTACATAGATTCCTGGCGAGACTGCTGAAATACTGAATATCGATCTACGCAAAAGTATCACACTTATGCAATTTCCCTATGATTAAGTTTACTTTTTTTCAATGTCTTGAATGGAAAATTTGAAGATGACATGTGCTGAAATTGATTTGAGAACATAACGTATACACCTCTATAATTAATAAGACATATTGTTACCTACGGTAACGTCAACATTTACAGCAGAAGAATGTTACCAATAATCGATTTGTTCTTACATTCAGTATGTAGAAATAATGCATACTTTGTATGTGTACTTTCTTTGTATTGGACCATGCACTGACTACTAATGACCTCATTATGTGGAAATTAGCAAGTTTGAATGTTTACTGTAAAGTGCTATTAATCATGAGAAACGCTGATTAACACAAACATGGGTAGCTACATGTATGTAACCTTTGTAAATACTAGGCGCAGTATACCGATCGTCTGGAAAGAACTGCGCTTTAACTCGACTAGTTGAGCGTCATACTAGTAAACCACAGGTCCCGGGTTCGAATCATGGCGGAGGCATTGAAATAAACTCTTACATCTAGAATAAAAAAAATTTACCCTGTTGTAAAGGTTAGATGCCCAGTTAAGTTGGCATTCCAACTGCCTAACGCTCTAGTTGTATATCTTAAGTCTTATTTTGGTGCATTTCACGAGGTTAAAATATCTGTAAAGCAGATAAATATATATTAGTGTTTTTCTTTAAAAAATAAAAGAGGGAGAGTTTGTGCAGGCAGTATTTTCACTGCCTAGAGTCTAACAACACGAGACTACAATATTATTTCGGTAATTCATAATAGATACACTCTATCATCGCCTAGTATGATAAAAAAAAATAACCAGGCGGTTATTCACCGCGACAAAACGATAATCATCGTCTTTTCGCCCCGCATAATTCAGGAAATCAAATGGATACTATTGTATGGTGGCTGATTTCTGCGTGGCGAAAAGACGATAATTTTCATTTTGTCGCTGCGAAAAGACGATAATTAGCGGGGTGAATAACTTCGCCCCGCTAAATAGCGACGTCAAGTTTTCGTTATTTCGCCTTGAGTTTTGTCGTCTTTTCGTTATGTTGCTGCGAAAAGACGAAATTTAGCGTGAGCGAAAAGACAATAATTATCGTTCTGTCGGGGCGACAAAACGAAACAACGAAATGGAAGAAATCAGCCATCATACTATAATGTACCACTTTCGTTCTTTCAAAGTGACGAGCTGATGACTAACACATGTACGCATTTTCCGGGTAAGGAAAATATCTGATTAACTATCAACTTCTGTTTCATAGGTAATTGGTGAATCTTCACATCAGAATGGTCGCACAGTTACGTCTTTTGACAGAAACCTACCTTAACGATTATGCCATTTTGAAAGGTTAACGGAAGGGAGTATTGTAAGAATCTTCTACCATTAGTGACCTCCCTTCAAGGACATCCGTTGGATGTTTGTTACATTCCTTTAGATGTATAGACTAAAATTCAAGCGTTGATATGAAAACTTGTACTCAGTTCACGCACTGTACGTGCATTATTAATCATTTGAGTTATATTTGAGCAGTCACCAAGTTAACATATGTACATGTGCCTGATGTGTGAAATGGCGCTTGTAGATATTTCTTGCCCTTAAAATTCTTCTTCTTCTTCTTCTTCTTCTTCTTCTTCAGGAATGTCAGAATTTTCTCGATTTTGTATAAATGGTGGGTTTGCCCTCCCCAACCCCCTGTTAATAAATAAAATACCCATGATAAGATTTGATTTCACGCCATGTCCCTGAGAAAGCATTTTTACAACACCTACGGTATCCGTTATTTCAGCCCATGTTTCGATATTGCCCTGTTACTGTGATAGCTCCAATGATGTCGTCATATACACGGTACAGTGTGTTCAGCAAACGAAACGAAAGCAGAATACCATGAAATTTACATTGTATTGATTTACCCCTACAGTTTAAAACATTTAAGGGACATAGATCTGTTTTGTGAATCCCATGATCATCAATAGACATCCGCTATGTCTGAGATAAAGACAATTAAAGTTCGTTTACCCTGTGCTCATTCAACCATGTCATTCCGGATTAATCAATTTAATCAGTCAACTACATCTGAACATCAGGAATTCTCGCGTGATTTCCCGCGTCTGTATGGTGATGAAGATAAGAATATCCTTCAAAACGTATACCAATGATCCCAGGGCGCTACATACGCATTTACCAGGTCTGTAACCAATGGAACGTGTAAACACGATCTAACCAATAGGAAAAATGCATGAAAACACGTGACAGGTAGTAAGAAAAACCTCTTCTATAACAACTGCAATTTAGCTGCGGATTCATATTATTACGACTGCTTCTGTTGACACTGTGTAAACGGAATCGTACCACTATAACAGAACGCAGAGACATCTGATGGGTACCATTTGTAGTTTAACTGAGAAGTATTGAAAGGAAGCATGTTGTTACGATTTTAAATCATACGTATACTACCAGTCAGACTACCTGCCATTACTGCTTTGTTGTTTTATAATTTAACCTCCGATTTTTTTTCTTACTCCCACACCACCTTCCCTTCGTCAAAATGTATTCGTGCACGATGCCATTTATTTCTATATCATTGATGGTACTATCATTACTTCGAACAAGCTTGTGTTCCGCGATCAACAATACTCGTTTGTTGGGAGATCTTTTAAATGGCTACCAGAGGTTTACGCGACCTGGTGCTGACTACTCTGTTCCAACATACGTTAGTGTTGAGTTCGATCTCCTCTCAATTCGAGATTTCGTTGCATTGACAAACAAATTTGCAATCACTGGAGTTTTTGAATTGTCTTGGCACGACGAGAGAATTTCTTGGGATCCAACTGCATACGGTGGTATAGAAGACATACATATACCTCAAGAATTGGTGTGGAAGCCCGAATTAATCAACACAAAACCGTTTACAGTCGTGAAGCCCATTGGAATACCGACGTTTGGGATTATATATCATTACACCGGAGACGCTTTTTGGATACCCGGTGATAATTATGATACCTCCTGCGAAGCTGATGTAACTTACTACCCGTTTGACTCACAGACATGTACCTTCAGATTCTCGGATTGGACACAAATACCTGGAACTATCTTTATAACCTCTTCTAAAAATGAGTTAGGTCTGAAATTGTACGTCACAAATCCTATGTGGGACATCACCAGCACCGTGATAGAGACGGATCATGACGAGTTTGGAAATTTCGTGTATTTTGATATTCATTTTAAACGACTTTACGGGTTTTATGTACTAAATATGGTTTTACCAATATGCCTGATCAGCTTCGTGAACATATTTGTATTCTTCCTGCCAGCAGAATCCGGTGAACGGATTGGGTTTTCAATTACAGTTTTTCTGGCGCTGTCGGTTCTTCTTACCATACTGGCGGAACATCTACCTAAGGCTTCTCGTCCACGAATCTCTATCATTTGCTACCTCATATTCTTCCAAACAACGATAAGCATTTTTGTCTTGTTAGCAACCATTCTAAGTTTGCGTTTCTTCTTTCATTCAGACTCGGAGGAAGTCCCGCGATTCTGGCAAAGATTTATACAAATAGTAGATCTGAAATGTGTATGTCGGAGAAAAAAACGACAGATTTCAAATGCAAACGCTGAAACAAAATCAATAACTTTGAGCAAAGAGTTGTTCGCCACGGACGTAGAAGATAGTGTAGATTTGAACGACATGAAAATCATCGGAAAGGAGAAACGCCCTCAGGATAATTCAGCTCATCAGGGCGTGGATACCATGGCTCGTGTCACATGGAAACAGGTTGGACAAGCCTTTGATAAAGTATGCGCTGTAGTATTCTCATTATTGAACATCATAAACATAGCAATATATTTTATGATTATGTATGTAAATGGTAAAATATAGATTGTATTATAAGGAAGACTGTTCTTTAATCACCATGCATGCACATAAACATAGACGGCTAGTGTTTAAGCCGGATCATCGAAACATGATTCCTGGCTGTGACGAAATTATGAAATAAGGATTAGACAAATGTTTTGTTATCCGAAAAAGGATGATAACTTAATGAAGGAAATGTTTATATTACCAGAAAAAAATGATAAGATGATGTAATGAAAGCAGTGTCTATATTGTCAGAAGAAAGAAAATTGTTGATATTATCCGGAAAAAGGACGATAAGATGACATAAGGAGAGAAATGTTTATATTGTGTGAAGAAAGATAATTTTTTTATATTATCCGAAAAAGGACGATAAGATGACATAAGGAGAGAAGTGTTTATATTGTGTGAAGAAAGATATTTTTTTTATATTATCCGAAAAAGGACGATAGGATGACATCAGGAGAGAAGTTTTATATTATCCGAAAAAAAAGAGAATTGTTTATATTATCAGAAAAAAAGACGATAAGATGACCTAATGAGAGAAGCGTTTATAATGTCTTGAAAAAAGATGACTTGTATTTTGGTATCCAAGAAGAAAAGCTATTCGATATTTCACATTGTCCAGAGTTACTCCAACGTTTTGTTAACATGTTAAATGTTTTCGGAATACAAAGATATGGTTTTACCAAGAACGTTAGCATGTGAACTCCATCATCTGGAAGCAGTTACCGTTTTTAGAAATAGATTTAGATAGACGATTGGTTTAGAGAGAACTTATCAGGTCACATAACATTCATTGCTATTATAAGAATATTGGAATAGTTAGAATTTTAAATAAGGTCACAAAACATTTCAGTACTTTGGTGATGAGTAAAGGTATATGCTTTATGAATTCAGTATGTGTAGACACACTCATTACTTTATGAATTCAGTATGTGTAGACACACTCATTACTTTATGTATTCAGTATGTGTAGACACACTCATTACTTTATGTATTCAGTATGTGTAGACACACTCATTACTTTATGTATTCAGTATGTGTAGACACACTCATTACTTTATGTATTCAGTATGTGTAGACACACTCATTACTTTATGTATTCAGTATGTGTAGACACACTCATTACTTTATGTATTCAGTATGTGTAGACACACTCTTTACATTATGTATTCAGTATGTGTAGACACACTCATTACTTTATGTATTCAGTATGTGTAGACACACTCTTTACATTATGTATTCAGTATGTGTAGACACACTCATTACTTTATGTATTCAGTATGTGTAGACACACTCATTACTTTATGTATTCAGTATGTGTAGACACACTCATTACTTTATGAATTCAGTATGTGTAGACACACTCATTACATTATGAATTCAGTATGTGTAGACACACTCATTACATTATGAATTCAGTATGTGTAGACACACTCATTACTTTATGTATTCAGTATGTGTAGACACACTCATTACTTTATGTATTCAGTATGTGTAGACACACTCATTACTTTATGTATTCAGTATGTGTAGACACACTCTTTACATTATGAATTCAGTATGTGTAGACACACTCTTTACATTATGTATTCAGTATGTGTAGACACACTCTTTACATTATGTATTCAGTATGTGTAGACACACTCATTACTTTATGTATTCAGTATGTGTAGACACACTCATTACTTTATGTATTCAGTATGTGTAGACACACTCATTACTTTATGTATTCAGTATGTGTAGACACACTCATTACTTTATGTATTCAGTATGTGTAGACACACTCATTACTTTATGTATTCAGTATGTGTAGACACACTCATTACTTTATGTATTCAGTATGTGTAGACACACTCATTACTTTATGTATTCAGTATGTGTAGACACACTCATTACTTTATGTATTCAGTATGTGTAGACACACTCATTACTTTATGTATTCAGTATGTGTAGACACACTCATTACTTTATGTATTCAGTATGTGTAGACACACTCATTACTTTATGTATTCAGTATGTGTAGACACACTCATTACTTTATGTATTCAGTATGTGTAGACACACTCATTACTTTATGTATTCAGTATGTGTAGACACACTCATTACTTTATGTATTCAGTATGTGTAGACACACTCTTTACATTATGAATTCAGTATGTGTAGACACACTCATTACTTTATGTATTCAGTATGTGTAGACACACTCATTACATTATGAATTCAGTATGTGTAGACACACTCATTACTTTATGAATTCAGTGTGTGTAGACACACTCATTACATTATGAATTCAGTATGTGTAGACACACTCATTACATTATGAATTCAGTATGTGTAGACACACTCATTACTTTATGAATTCAGTGTGTGTAGACACACTCTTTACATTATGAATTCAGTATGTGTAGACACACTCATTACTTTATGAATTCAGTGTGTGTAGACACATTCTTCACTGTATGTGTTCAGTATGTGTAGACACATTCTTTACATTATGAATTCAGTATGTGTAGACACACTCATTACTTTATGAATTCAGTGTGTGTAGACACATTCTTCACTGTATGTGTTCAGTATGTGTAGACACATTCTTCACTGTATGTATTCAGTATGTGTAGACACATTCTTCACTGTATGTATTCAGTGTGTGTAGACACATTCTTCACTGTATGTGTTCAGTATATGTAGACACACTCTTCACTGTATGTATTCAGTATATGTAGACATACACTTTATGTATTCAGTATGTGTAGACCCATTCATCACTTTATGTATTCAGTATGTGTAGACCCATTCATCACTGTATGTATTCAGTATGTGTAGACACATTCTTCACTGTATGTATTCAGTATGTAGACATCACTGTATGTGTATTCAGTATGTGTAGACATACTCTTCACTGTATGTATTCAGTATGTGTAGACACACTCTTCACTGTATGTATTCAGTATGTGTAGACACACTCTTCACTGTATGTATTCAGTATGTGTAGACACACTCTTCACTGTATGTATTCAGTATGTGTAGACTTACACTTTATGTATTCAGTATGTGTAGACTTACACTTTATGTATTCAGTATGTGTAGACACATTCTTCACTGTATGTGTTCAGTATGTGTAGACACATTCTTCACTGTATGTATTCAGTATGTGTAGACACATTCTTCACTGTATGTATTCAGTATGTGTAGACACATTCTTCACTGTATGTATTCAGTATGTGTAGACACATTCTTCACTGTATGTGTTCAGTATGTGTAGACACATTCTTCACTGTATGTATTCAGTATATGTAGACATACACTGTATGTATTCAGTATGTGTAGACACACTCTTCACTATATGTATTCAGTATATGTAGACACATTCTTCACTGTATGTATTCAGTATGTGTAGACACATTCTTAACTGTATGTATTCAGTATGTATAGACACACTCTTCACTGTATGTATTCAGTATGTGTAGACCCATTCATCACTGTATTTATTCAGTATGTGTAGCCACACTATTCACTTTATTTATTCAGTGTCAGAATTTTGACGGCTTCATTTTTCATCATGGAAGTAAATATATACAGATATCCACACAACATCAGTTTTAACGTTAATTAATTACACGATAACACAAATCAACACCAACCGATCACAACGGTAAACGATATAACTAATTGATTTTATCACGAATATCTTATATGTTTCTACAACCCTCCTGTGTGAAAGTAAATATTCTCGAGTTGATTGAATATGTCCAAGCGGAATTGAAGTACTAAGAGGCATCATTCACACAATAAGAAACGATAGCACGGTAATTTAGTAAATATATCTTAACAATAATGGAGAGGGTCAAGTTAACAAAAATCATTACCGATAAATAATACCCTAAACTTGTTTTCTTTACCACCAATCCCTCCCCTTCTCTCTAGATATGAAACAGAACCTTTAAAACGTATTTCACAGTATAACCTGGAAATGTAGGCGAATTGTGTTAAACATTTATCAAGCAGAATTGTGTTGTTGATGTTCAGATAAATGAAAATTAGGAGATTTATTGAATCATATAGCTAGTGCTATTCCCAATCTAGATTTTGTGTTTTCTTTCGATAACTTTGGGGTTTTCCTCAATCGCTTCAAAGCCTTCAAAAATAAGGTCCTTAGCAGCACAGACGAGTCCTATAAGGATGAAACAGTTGTATGGTGCAGTGTAATTTATTACGTCTCTCTATTGTATCTAACTCTAAATTAGTATGTAAATGGGCTATTATCATGTGTGTCATTTGTACTGTGTTGTGTTTTGTCTTTTAGCAATAAAATATGCTATCACCTAATCACGGTTGATAATGTTTTATATTATTAGTGAAAATTGAAAACAAATTGAAAAAAAGATGAAATAACGTGTGTTGAATATAAGAGTATTATAACAGAAATTATAAATGTAAGTAAAACAAATCTAATACCTGTCTTTATCCTCACGTGAATGTTCTGTTATCGTATAGGGTCATGGGATATATAAATATAGAAGTTAAAAAAGACACAAGAATCCATACAAACAACATCTTACTGCTGGCTCATCTAACTGTCCAACTAAGCCTTTGTCAAAACTACTAACTGACAATGCCATCAGATTTGGTTAGTCTTATGAAACTGTAAACAGAATAAGTGGAATTGGTATGTGGATTTTTGAGAACTCCAGAGAGCAATTTATAACACCCTCTTCTAAATCATTAAAAAACATCCGTACACACCATATTGTAAATTGAAAGGACGCATTTGTTCAGTTGTTATGAGAACTTACTTCTCCAAGAAAGGTGAACGATGTTGCAAATTTAAGGTTATGATCTAAAATTCTGAAGTGTATTTCGTAAAAATTACGTCCAAATCAAAGAAGAAATATACTGAGAACGTTTCTGGTCGACAACATCTTCGCCGAAATTGCTTTTTCTCGAAAGAAATAGGACTAGTGTCTTGACTTGATCAGGGAAACGCCCAGATAACAATCACAATGCGAATGGTTTGAGCT